CTTTTAACCTCAGTTGAACATTCAAGACAGAAAATATATGGAGTAATATGCAGACTAAATAAAAATTTTCGGGGCACTCTTTCTGCCACCTCCTGATGTCTATATCAGAAGCTTTCTCTATCTCCTTTTATACTTTAATAAAACTTTATTAAAAAATTTCCAAGTATAAGAGGGAGGAGAATATTTACAGATGAGAGAAATAAAAAGAGAAGCCTGATATCAATCTGTTAGTAAGGAGAGGATCCAGGATGGGAATCCAGGACTGCCTGACTCCAGAAATCCAGGCTCTAACCCATGAGTACCTGAGCAAAAGTACCACTGCCTGAAGATCATGGACTGGTAGATGCAGAAGGACTGGGAGACAGGTTGGTCTCTGAGAGGCCCAGTGTGAAAAGGGGTCAGGTTTTCTAGAACATGAGGTCAGAACTGCAGGTGTTCTCAGTCATGTCCAACTCTTTGTGACCTCCTGGACTGCAGCCTCCCAGGTTTCTCTGTCCATGGAATTTTCCAGGCAAGAATACTGGAGTGGGTGGCTATTTCAGGGGTTCTTCCTGACCCAGGGAAGAACCTACTTCAGGGGAAATAGTTTATTACCTACTTTAGGGTTCTTCCAGGAATCGAACCCTTGTCTCCTGCATTGCTGGCAGATTCTTCCCACTCAGCCACCTGGGAAGCCCAGACTTGTATGAGGACTTGATTACCTCAAATTGACATGGATTTCAAGATGCAGTCCAGAGACTTCCCTAGTGGCCCAGGGGTTAAGAATCTACTTTCCAATGCAGGGGACACAAGTTCTATCCCTGTTTTGGGAATAAGATCCTATAAAAGAGGCAAGAGGGGCTACTGAACCCCTGTGCTCCTCAACCACAACTAGAAAGAAGGCCACAGGTCACAAGGGGGAAAAAAAAAAAAGATCCTCCAGGCTGCCGCTAATACCTAACCAACTGATATCTGATGTAGCCAAATTTAAATTTAAAAATGTTTTTTTTTTTTAAGTCACAGCCAGGGTTCCCTGGGAAGGGTTCTCACTTGGCCTTACCACTCTAGATTTCACTCACACTTACCTGCCTGCTGTCCATTGTGTCAGAATATGATTGTTTTATGATGCTTTTTGATTTGTTTCGATCAGCAAGGGTGGATTTGTATCAGCCCCACCATGCTATTTATTCAGACCCTGTGTGCTAGATAACTTGCCTTTTTCTGAGGCGTTCCTAGAGTGTGGCCTACTATGATATAGTTAAGTAGGCTTTGTCAAGCACACACACACAGGTTTGGCAAGGCCCAGACCTGACTGATTCAGTCAATAAATATACAAGGAGCCAGTTTAGGGACTTCCCTGGCAGTCCAATGGTTGAGAGTCCACCCTTCCAAGGCAGGGGTATGTGGGTTCAATTCCTGGCCAGGAAACTAAGATCCCACATGCCATGTGGCATGGTCAAAAAAAAAAAAAGCAAGGAGCCAGTTTAGCCTCAGACGGTTTATTGCTTCATATACCACAAAGGGAAGAATGCATCAAGGTGCCAGCTGCCAGGGATCCTTATCCCACATATGAAAAAGGACACTCCTGAAACAAAAGGGGCCAGGTGACCGCAATGTAAGTCCTGGGATAACTGCCTGCTGAGGAGCCAGTTCTAGGCTGCAGCTAAGAGGTTTTTATATTCTCAGCTCTATTCTGGGGGGCTGGGGGGGATGGGGCAGAAAGTCTCCAGCTCATCAGAACCTGCAGGGGGACAAGGTCTTCAGAGGTTTCTGGTCCTCTCCAGTTTCAGAAAAGTCACAAAGCATCCTGCTACAACTCAGGTTAAGTATCGGTTTGACCCTTTTACCTGGGAGGGAGGCCTTTGTGGTTACATACAAGGTGGCCAGGGTTCATGAAGGAGATGTTCGCCCACAATTTTCTCAGGGTTAGAGGCTTAAAGCCTGCCATGTGTATGTATGCTTAGTCACTCAGTCCTGTCCAACTCTTTGCAACCCTTTGGACTGCATCCCACCAGGCTTGTCTGTCCATGGAATTTTCCAGGCAAGAATACTGGAACGGGTTGCTATTTCTTGCTCCGAGGGTCTTCCTGACCCAGGGACTGAACCCTTGTCTCCTGTGTCTCCTGCATTGCAGGCAGATTCTGTACCCACTGAGCCATCAGGGGAGCCTTAACCCTGCCACAGAAAGAGAAAATAAGACTGAAAACAAGAAATCTGAATTCAAATCTAGTTCAGTCCATCATTAGCCACATGACTTCAGAAAACCTTTTACCTCTCTGGAGTGCGTTTGTTTTGAGGGGGTTGGTGTTTTTCTTTTCTCTGAGCTTTACTGTTAAGTTCTTTTCTTTTTTTTTTTTTTTTACTTTATATTGATATAGTTGATTAACAATGCTGTGTTACTTTCAGATCTACAGCAAAGTTATACACATACATGTTTCTACTCCTTTTCAAGTCATTTTCCCGTATAGGTTATTAAAGAGTATTAAGCAGGGTTCCCTGTGCTACACAGTAGGTCCTTGTTGGTTATCTATTGGAGCTTGTTTTTTTTTTTTAATCAATAAAATTATATAGTTTTTGTTTGCTTTTGAGGAGATCTCTGTCCTCTTATTTGAATGTAAACTGCACAAAGTCCAGGATTTTGCCTACTTTGTTCACTATTACAGCCCCAGTGCTTGGAACAGTGGCAGGCACGTGGTGGGGATTCAGTCAACATTTTTGTTGTTGTCAGTTGCTCAGTCATGTCTGACTCTTTGCGACCCCATGGACTGCAGGCAGCTTCCCTGTCCTTCACGATCTTCTGGAGCTTGCTCAAACTCATGTTCACTGAGTTGATGATGCCATCCAGCCGTCTCATCCTCTGTCGTCCCCTTCTCCTCCTGCCCCCAGTCTTCCCCAGCATCAGGGTCTTTTCCAGTGAGTAGGCTCTTCACAGCAGGTGGCCAAAGGACTGGAGCTTCAGCATCAGTCCTTCCAATGAATATTCAGGGTTGATTTCCTTTAGGATTGACTGGTTTGATCTCTTTGCTGTCCAGGGAACTCTATAGAGTCTTCCCCAGGACCACACTTCAAAAGCATCAATTCTTCGGCGTTCAGTCTTCTCTATGGTCCAATTCTCACATGCCATGACTACCGCAAAAACCATAGCTTTGGCTATATGGACCTTTGTCAGCAAAGTGATGTCTCTGCTTTTAAATACGTTGTCTAGGTTCACCATGGCTTTTCTTCCAAGGAGCAAGCATCTCTTAATTTCATGGCTGCAGTCACTGTCCGAAGTGATTTTGGAGCCCAAAAATATAAAGTCTCTCACTGTTTGCATTTTTCCCCCATCTATCTACCATGAAGTGATGGGACTGGATGCCATGATATCTTAGTTATTTGAATTTTAGTTTAAAGTCAGCTTTTTCACTAATGAAATGAAGATGTTTTGTTTATCTTGTCAGCATGTGCATTCAAAGTCCTTTCAGGTGTTTTGTGTTTGTTTTAATTTTTTGCACAAAATTCATAGAGGAGTCCAGTGAAAAAATGGCTATACTTTTAGGGGAACAACTGAAAAAAAAAACTGAGTGAACTCACATCTAAGTTCAGGGTGAATAATTATACTGAGGAGTGGAACATGGCACCCAAATGGATCTTTTATTAGGGCTATTACAATAAACCCTCATGACACCTCTGACAAATGGTTCCTTGCAATAATAGAATATAGGGAAGGCCCAACTTGTCCACTGTTGCATTCTACACCTAGCACTTTCCCAGTCATCTCCCAAGGCTCCTTTTTCCTCTTTCTCTCAGCCAATGTGTAGTGCAGAATAGAAAATAAATTACCCGCCAAGAGACCTGCCTCCGGTTCTGCTAAGAGCAAGATCACTCACTTCCCTGCCCTAAGCCCCAGTTTCTTCATCTTTATGTATTTGTATAACACACATGGTTTTCCTTAATTGTAACTAAGTGATGTTAGTATATCACTTTCACAGATCAAGAAACCATGGCTCAAAGAGACTAACCCGCTGAAGGTCATTAATTAGTACCAGAGCCGAGCTTTCTGACTCCAAGTTCAGATTTCTGTCGGTTGCTCAGTCGTGTCCGACTCTTTGAGATGCCATGGACTGTAGCCCACGGGGCTCCTGTGTCCACGGAATTCTCCAGGCAAGAATACCGGTGTGGGTTGCCATTTCCTTCTCCAGGGGAATCTTTCCAACCCAGGGATCGAACCCAGGTCTCTCACATTGCAGGCGGATTCTTTACCATCCGAACCACCAGGGACGTCCTTTCAGGTTTCTCTGCACCATACAATGAGACACCGAGAAGTGCCCAGGCGGAGGTCCCTTCCATCTCCATACCTTCTCCATGAAGGGACAGGGATTTTTGCCTGACTTGGTCCCTGTTCCAATCTCAGCGTCTACAATTCCGCCCGGCACATAAGAGGCACTCAATATGTATTTGTCGAAAGCCAAAAAAAAAAAAAAAAGATGAGACTTGCCANTTCTTTCTGTAATTTCCAGCAAGTTACTGCCGCTTTCTGGATTTGTTCTGTCCCCCACTCTCGCGCAGTTTCTTTCCCGCCCCTCGTTCGCTCCTCTGGCCACTAGACGGCACTGTCGGAAGCGAACCCCATCTAACAGAGAGCGGCGCCCTTCTTGGCCCCGTTGCGCCTTCCCCGGTCGGAGGGCAGCGCGCAAGAAACCGGAAGTGCCGGAGCCGCCGCCGCCGCCGCCGTCTTTAAGTGCAGTGTTCACCCCTTCGGTTACTGCGGGCGCCGTCGCCAAGGAAGCCGCTGCAGCCGGGTCTGGAGTGGAGGCGGCGCGGCATGAAGCGGCGCAGGCCCGCTCCTTAGCGCGCGTCAGGACGGTCCGGGCGGGGCCGGGGAGGGGGGAAGGTGCAGTATCCGCCCTCTCTCCTTCCCCTTCGCCCGCGAGGCCTGCGCCCCTGCCCACTCGGGCCTCTCCGCCTCTCGGAGGAGCTGCCCGGCGCATTCTCCCGGTTAGCTCGCTCTGCGGTTTACCCGGCGCGCCGCCGTGCGCGGGCCACAGCCGGTGGTAGAGCCCCAGTTGCCGGAACAGGAAGCCGAGGCTCTCAGATTCCGAGTCAGCCAACGTTCAGTGGGCGCCCCCTGAGCGCTGGGTGCTGGCCGCCGGACTTCCACGTCCGTTATCTTAATTGAGCCTTGCTGGGGTTGGGAGCCGGGTGTTGTCCAGGCTTACAGATGAGAAGCGGAAGTCCTCAGAGGCAAAGGGATTTGCCTAAAGTCCGACTGTGGCAGACCGGATTCGGACTGAGATTTTCTGGTTTCCTAGCTGGTGTTCTTTCTACTGCCCCATTTCTAGGTCGATTCCCTTCCTCCTTGTTCACTGGCCCCTTCTCATTCTATTTCACCCACCAGGGCAGGATAGGTTCTTTTCTTTCCTATTTCAAACCTGTCCGCTCACACATTTTTCTTCTTAAGTCTTGGCACCTTCCCAAGTCCCCTTAATATTCTCTGCTACACTTCTGCTCTTCTTCATTCTAGCTCTCAAGGTCTTTGCCCACTTTGTGATAATAAACCTCTCAACTAGTTGTGGATCCTGGCGAGTGAAATAACTGGGCTTCAGTGAGGCTTGGGGTGTTTAAGTGGACAAACTGGCGCCTGGGTTAAAAGTTAAGGAATGATATTTGAGTGGGCCCAGATTCAAGAGTCCTGTTTTCTAACCCGACATGCTCTTCTCTGAATGAGACTCTTAGTGCATGAGAAGGTGTCTTGACCTCTTGGTCCTCTTGTTGGCGTTAGCACAACTTCACTTTTTACCCTCCCATTTGCCAGTGACCCACATGTCTCTCCACCACCTGTCAGGGCTATGAAAGCCTCTGATTAAAACCTATAACCAAATAACGGGTGTAATCACAGACTCTGCTTTTTTTCTTTTACTAAGCCAGAATTTCAACAAACTTACCACATCCGTTTTTCAGAGAAGTTACCTAATTCAGTTATCAATATTTTCGGAGTATACATGGAAAGGAAAGAAGCGAAAATGGAGTGCACTGAAAATGGATAGTACATTCTTTATCTTGTGAAAATCTTGATGTTAACAGCATGTTCTCTTTCCACAGAAGTGGCCTGTTGTTGTATTAATAGTTCTTACTGGTTATTATACTGAATCTGTTCTGTCTCCAATCTGCTAAATATGAATTCTGTAAAATAATACAAATTGATTATTATGTAAAAGAAAAACAGGACCAGGCACAGAGAAATAAATTTTATTATCCATTATCTATCATTTTTAAGAATTTGTAATAGCCACTGAGTAATCTCACATCTGTATGCCTTTTATACTTTTTTTTTTCTTTTATACTTTTAAAAGAATTTCTATAATTTACCTTTTAATATGGATCCAGATGTCAGGATTAAACTACTGTGTAGATAGTCTTTGGAGTAAATTCAGCTGTACATTTCTAAAGTAAAATCATTTTATAATTTTCAGAAAATGCAGATACAAAATAATCCGGGCATTGTATATTATATCAAAAAGAATATCAGTTCTAAGTACTATTTGAGACTTTAGGTTTAGTATTTTGGGGGCACATATGATCCGTTTTAATAATGATCAACAGGCTTATATCTTATTTCATTATCCTGGTGAGCAGGATTGGATGGTGAGAAAAGGAAAGATTCCTGTGAGAAGAGAACAGGATGAGCAGAGGGATCTATGCTTGAAGTTGAGTCACTTGAAAAAGATCTCTTTGAATGTGGAAGAGATCTGAACAGATGAAAATACAATCAGGTAGGCACCAGGGAAGGGCCTCAAGTGAAGAGGTAGGTGGGGCAGTGAAATAAATGCACAGTACTGAGAATGTGTACTGACCTATTTTGTAATTGTTGAAATTAGAAAACTCTGCTCACATATTTTGAGAATGGATACATAAGATATTATGGAAATATGGAAATTAGTTACACATTTGTATATATTACTAAAATTATGTAATCAGGTCTATGCAAGGAAATGCAGAATATACAGTTACCATAAAATACAGAGTAGTAGTGTCATTTGAACTGTAGAATGTGTGTGTATGTGAGAGAGAGAGGAGAAAGAAATGGTGAGTGTGGGCATCTAGTACAATTTAGGAATATCTGATAGTTATGCTTAAGTGCAAGGTAATGTAAGTTTTACGTACAAGAGATGTCAGTAGCTCAAGAAGCTGGGCGGTGAGCTTCCCTGTTCCATCCCTATGCTCTGTTGTTTAAAGCAGTGGTTTGGAGATGAAGTTCCAAATTTAACACAAGGAGAGAACAAGAATGAGCCCGGTTTGTGTATCTCCTTGTTTAACCTGTCCCTCACACTCGTAGGAATCAAACTAGATCCATTTATATATTTGATAGAAAACAGACCTCCACCAGCTTTTAGATGGGCAAACAGCCACTACTGTCATATACTGCTGCTTAACATCAGTGTGCTGAGTATCAGCTGAGCTGAATGACTTTTCTATTGAGCTGTGTGGATTTTAATCATCGGAGGTAAATGCCCAGTTGTAATAATGTTCCAAGTTGTATACCTATAAAACAAGTTCTTACTGGTTATTATACTGAATCTGTTCTGTCTCCAATCTGCTAAATATGAATTCTGTAAAATAATACAAATTGATTATTATGTAAAAGAAAAACAGGACCAGGCACAGAGAAATAAATTTTATTATCCATTATCTATCATTTTTAAGAATTTGTAATAGCCACTGAGTAATCTCACATCTGTATGCCTTTTATACTTTTTTTTTTCTTTTATACTTTTAAAAGAATTTCTATAATTTACCTTTTAATATGGATCCAGATGTCAGGATTAAACTACTGTGTAGATAGTCTTTGGAGTAAATTCAGCTGTACATTTCTAAAGTAAAATCATTTTATAATTTTCAGAAAATGCAGATACAAAATAATCCGGGCATTGTATATTATATCAAAAAGAATATCAGTTCTAAGTACTATTTGAGACTTTAGGTTTAGTATTTTGGGGGCACATATGATCCGTTTTAATAATGATCAACAGGCTTATATCTTATTTCATTATCCTGGTGAGCAGGATTGGATGGTGAGAAAAGGAAAGACTCCTGTGAGAAGAGAACAGGATGAGCAGAGGGATCTATGCTTGAAGTTGAGTCACTTGAAAAAGATCTCTTTGAATGTGGAAGAGATCTGAACAGATGAAAATACAATCAGGTAGGCACCAGGGAAGGGCCTCAAGTGAAGAGGTAGGTGGGGCAGTGAAATAAATGCACAGTACTGAGAATGTGTACTGACCTATTTTCTAATTGTTGAAATTAGAAAACTCTGCTCACATATTTTGAGAATGGATACATAAGATATTATGGAAATATGGAAATTAGTTACACATTTGTATATATTACTAAAATTATGTAATCAGGTCTATGCAAGGAAATGCAGAATATACAGTTACCATAAAATACAGAGTAGTAGTGTCATTTGAACTGTAGAATGTGTGTGTATGTGAGAGAGAGAGGAGAAAGAAATGGTGAGTGTGGGCATCTAGTACAATTTAGGAATATCTGATAGTTATGCTTAAGTGCAAGGTAATGTAAGTTTTACGTACAAGAGATGTCAGTAGCTCAAGAAGCTGGGCGGTGAGCTTCCCTGTTCCATCCCTATGCTCTGTTGTTTAAAGCAGTGGTTTGGAGATGAAGTTCCAAATTTAACACAAGGAGAGAACAAGAATGAGCCCGGTTTGTGTATCTCCTTGTTTAACCTGTCCCTCACACTCGTAGGAATCAAACTAGATCCATTTATATATTTGATAGAAAACAGACCTCCACCAGCTTTTAGATGGGCAAACAGCCACTACTGTCATATACTGCTGCTTAACATCAGTGTGCTGAGTATCAGCTGAGCTGAATGACTTTTCTATTGAGCTGTGTGGATTTTAATCATCGGAGGTAAATGCCCAGTTGTAATAATGTTCCAAGTTGTATACCTATAAAACCCTCGAAATAGGTTTTCTGAATGCTTTTGCTACTGTTATATTGAAAATGACAGTGTAATTCACTGTAACTTGAAAAAAGACACAGTATCCTAGCCATCCAGTTCTGTTCATTTCACCACCCACCATTGATGGAGTAATTCACAGCCTACACCTGCTAGTCTTTTTCTCTGTGGTTTGGTCGTTTTTTACCATGAACTCCTGTTAACCTGTGAAATTAAACCTTAAAAAAGATGTTAAATTTACAGCTGTGTATTGACTTTTGTTGTAGAAGTGGTTAATAATTATGTGAATTGGTTACACAAATGCAGTGTAGTTTATCTCCCAGGTCCTTATGTTTTTGGCATTTATTAGTTCAAAAAGAGCAGGTTGCCCCAAATTTTTATGTTGCTCCTTTTTGGTAGTGTTATAAATAATGCATGTCAGAATATCTTAACAGTGGCTTATAATAACACTTCTTGTTATTTTCTCTGATACTTTGCTCCTGTTACATCTAAATATTGACCTGGATAGAGAAGAAAATCTTCTGGATCTGTAAAATGAGAGAAACATCATTAGTAGATGAAGTGTTAATATTGTTTTGGGGTTGAACTGGTAAATTGGGTTCAGACTTCTGTCAAAATATTGATAGTACAAACATTAAATGTTTTCTGCATAAATTACAACTAAAGCCACTTTCTTCTCTTATTTAACCATGAGAGTAAAAGTTGTGTAATCTGTAATAAGAGTATAAAGTTACACAAGGGATGGTAAAATAGTGCTATCTAGGCAAGAGCAAAAGACGAGAAAAATGGACCAACGAGTTAGGTCTTTTGGTGTTTGGAGTTCCCATTTAAAAGGAAACTGTATTATCTTGGGTAAATGCTCCAGGAAGATATTACAAGTACTTATTTTGCAACAATTTTATTAGTGTTCTAATTGGTTGTGATTATTTCTGTTAGCTGAAGAAGTCCACAATTTATCAAATCTATTACTTTTTTAAAGTGCAAAAACACTTAACTCCCTTGGCACATTTAGCTTCACTATTGACATGCTCTTTGAAGGAACATAGCAGCCAATTTGCATATGGCCTGTTTCCTTCCAGTGTGGGAAAGAAGAAGGAATTTTGGCAAGAGATACCTAAGGAGAGCCTTTTATAAAAGTTCCCAGAGAGATTTATAGTCACTGTGAAATAGACATGACCTCAATTTTTTTTTAAATCTCAGTTTCAAACTGAACACAGAGAAAGGGGAGCTATTGCTTTTCTTACTAAGTTTCATTGCAACTGTACTGAAAAGCATTTTTTCCCTCTTTTTGGGGTGGTAGGGGGACCCTAATCAGGCTGTCATTCTAATTAACTAGTAAGAGAGGACAGACCTGTGAACTTCATGTGGCTTATTTATTTATTTATTTTAGGAAAATGCAACATGGCAGCAGCGATGGAAACAGAACAGCTGGGTGTTGAGATCTTTGAAACCGCAGAGTGTGAGGAGAATATTGAATCACAGGATCGGCCTAAATTGGAGCCATTTTATGTCGAGCGATATTCCTGGAGTCAGCTTAAAAAGCTGCTTGCTGATACCAGAAAATATCATGGCTACATGATGGCTAAGGCACCACATGATTTTATGTTTGTGAAGAGGAATGACCCAGATGGGCCTCATTCGGACAGGATCTATTACCTTGGTGAGTATAAAATCATAGTTTCTGAAAGGAAATGCTTTCTTAATTGAAAATTAGAGGCTTGACGCAACTGGCACTCAAATTTTGATGAATAAACAAGTGAATCAGTGATGGTTCCACTGAAGAGAAAAAAACAATTTGAAGAACTTCAGTTTTGGCAGTTTTAATTTTTTGTCCCATTAATTTTGTTTTTATTTGTTGATAATAAATCATCAGTTGATCATGATCTTACTTTCAAAGTAAAGATGCCAGATATTACTTCTTCCTAAAGCTAATTTAAAATGACTTTCCTTCAGAATGGTCAGATTCTTTAGGAATGGTGAAAGAGGAACACAAATAATAAAACCAGTAGTTTGTTCCCACTCTAAACAGCTGCTGCTTTCATTTTTTAAAATCAAGGCTGGTCTTGGTCTCTTCTTCCTGAGCCCATTCAGTCCAGATTTAAGATCTGTCAACATTAAGTATATAGTATCACTGATTGATTTTTTTTTTGTTTCTTTTTTGTTTATACACCTTAAATGCTTTACTAAGATGTTGTGGTAAAAGGAATAGGTAGTAAAGACAGCACCAAGCTTGCTTAGGCACAGCTGATAGCCCAGCTGCTAAAGAATCTGCCTGCCATGCAGGAGACCTGGGTTGGAAACATCCCCCTGGAGAAGGGGTAGGCTACCCACTCCAGTATTCTTGCCTGGAGAATCCCCAAGGACAGAGGAGCCTGGTGGGCTGCAGTCCACGGGGTTGCAAAGAATCGGACACAACTGAGCGACTAAGCGGAGCACAGCACTGAGAGAAATGACTGATCCGTCACATCCAGAGACGCAGGCAGTGGGTAAGGAGGCGACCTTGGCGTCACATCCAGAGACGCAGGCAGTGGGTAAGGAGGCGACCTTGGCATCACATACAGAGACGCAGGGCAGTGGGTAAAGAGGCGACCTTGGCGTCAGAAGCCCAGGCTCTGGTATCAGCTCCATGGCTGACTTACTGACCCTGTGGGTCTCAGTTTCCTCATCTGTCAGACAAGGGTTAATACCTATCTCATAGGAGTGTCTTAAGTGTTGAGTTGGCCAAAAAGTTTGTTCGGGTTTTTGTATGCTCATATGGAAAAACCTGAATGAACTTTTTGGCCAACCCCAATTTAAACAAATGTTAATAAACACAATACTGTTCTTGTACAACCAAAACAAATTTTACTACGGCTAGTCTGAAGAAGAAAACTAAGAAGGAAAAGAAAATAAAATTTTTTGTTATGCAGTCTCCCAAGCAGTTGTCTGCACTACAGTGTTATTTTTTAGGATTAGAAATAACAGTTGCAAAAAATACATTAAAAAAAAAGGAATAATAGTTGTAAATTACAGTATGCTACCTGGTATTCACCAACTGGTAATTATTATTTGTACTATTATTAGCTTAAGTCCCAAGAGCCCTTTCATTCATTCATTGTCAGTCATTGAATACATTTATTGAGAGATGGTGCTGAAATATTTAGGTAAGTCATCTGAGTGAAAGTGAAAGTCTTTCAGTCATGCCTGCTGTTTGTGATCCCACGGGCTAAAGCCCAAGAATACTGGTGTGGGTAGCCATTCCGTTTTCCAGGGGATTTTCCCAACCCAGGGATCGAACCCATGTCTCCTGCATTGCAGGCAGATTCTTTACCATCTGAGCCACAAGGGAAGCCCAAGTCATCTGAGTAGGAAATACATGTATATCTTTCTCAAGAAACTTATGCTGCAGCTTTATTGGAAGCAGAAAATCAGACTTTCCTTTGATTGGAGAAGCATTATAAGAAAAGCTCATCCATAATTGCTAAATTAGGCAATTTGGTTGGAAGAGAGTTTGGGCAAAATTAGGGGAGAAGGCCTTATATTTTGTATGGTATTTAAAAATTTTAGCCATACTGTCTGTAATTCTTAACTGTAAACAAATGTCTCACAAAAATGTTTATGAATTGCCATTAAAAGTGCTTACCAAAAGGGATTTCACCCCTAGTACAGTAGTTGAAATGGGATCCCAAGCCCGTAAATTTTGGAGTTCCTTCATGTAGTCGTGCTATGCTATTTTATTTTCCTAAGCCACAGCCTGAGGGAATGGATGTTTGGTTGGTGTTGGTTGGTAGAGTGAGAAAGAAAAGAATGTGAGTGATGAGAACTCTGAAGGAACAGAGCCCCCCCCCCCCCCAAGTAAACCCCCACAGCTAAGAGGTGGGTGGGAAAGGAAGGGCTGAGGTGAGTCTGAGGGCACTGACCTCCTGATGTGCCTTTGTTTACTAAGTTTTTAAAAATAGGTCTCCTGCCCTCCTCCAAAACCGTTTTTTTTTTTTTTAAAGAGATATTCTTTGCATGAGTCCACATTAGTAATTATAGATTTTTTTTAAAGCAATTTCAGAGTATTCCATTATGTAATTTTGCCATATTTTACTTTGAAAGTGAAAGAAAGTGAAAGTGAAGTCAATCAGTTGTGTCCGGCTCTTTGCTACCCCATGGACTGTAGCCCACCAGGCTCCTCTGTCCATGGGATTCTCCAGGCAAGAGTACTGGAGTGGGTTGCCATTTCCTTCTCCAGGAAGTCTTCCCGACCCAGGGATTGAACCCAGGTCTCCCGCATTGCGGGCAGGTGCTTTAACCTCTGAGTCACCAGGGAAGCCCGACTCAGACCCCTAATAATGGACATTTCGGTCTTTCTATTGGTATTACAAAAAATGAGGCAGCAAATATCACTGTAGATCATTTTGTACATGTGTGAATTTACTTACTAGGAGTAATTGCAGAGTGGAATTACTAGGACAAAAGGTGTACAGGTTCTGATTCTTATTGATATTGCCAAATTACCCCTCCATGGAGGTTGTAGAGTTTACATCCCTGTCAGCATTGTCTCAAGAGTATGTATTTCTCTACCTGTACCAATAGTGAGTGAGCAAACTTTTATCTTTCCCAATCTAATTGATGAACAGCAATCCCTCACTGTAATTTTTTTAATTTCTTATTTTTTTAATCGAAGTATAATTGAAATATTAGTTTCATGTGTACAACATAATGATTCAATATTTGTATACATTGTGAAATGACCATTACAGTAAGTTGAATTAACATCTGTCACATACAGTCAATAAAAAAATTTTTTTCCTTATGATAAGAACTATTACGACTTATTCTCTTAGCAACTTTCAAATATGCAATATGGTATTATTAATTATAGGCATCGTGCTGTACATTATATCTCCATGTTTCATTGTAGTTTTAATTCGTATTTCTCCTGTGAGTGAAGTTGAGCATCCTTTCACATATTTAAAGGGCATTTGTGTTTTTTTCCTGTGACTGATCTGTTTGTAATCACTGTCGATTTTTTACTGGGTTGTGGGTACTTTTCTTGTCAACCTAAAGCATTTTTTTGTACAGTGAGGGAATTAATCCATTGTGATGTTTTTCCCTGAAGTTGAATGTTTTTTGCCTTTGGTGCCTTTTGCCCTTTTGTAGAGATTTGTGGGGTGTTTTTTTTTTGGTAGTTAAATTTTTACTTCTTATGTAGTTTTGTATCCCACCTAGACATCTAGAAAGGCTGTCTCAACTCCAGATCGTATTTTTTTAAATCTTTATGTACTTTGGACTTTGTTTTGCTCTGTTGATCCATCTGTCAAATCAGGCACCAATACTCTGCTGCTCTTACTATTGTCACTGTAACTTTAGATGTTTTACTGTTTGATAGCAAACAAATAGTACTTTTCATTACTCCTTTTCATATTTGTCCTGAGTATTTTTGTTTGCTTGTTTTTCTGTGAGAACTTTAAATGAGCTTAAAGCTCCTTTCTCTCAATCCTACTTAAACTGTGTTAGGATTGCATTATATTTATGGATGAAGTTAGGAAAATGGACAGTCTTTAAAAATCTATTTATTTTTGGCTGTGCTGGGTCATGATTTCTGGGCTTCCTCTAGTTGCAGTGAGCAGGGGTTATTCCTCTTGGTTGCTGTGCTCAGGCTTCTCATTGCAGTGACTCCTCTTGTGCGGAGCACAGACGAGTGCTCGAGGCGTCAGTAGCTGCCACTTGTGGGCTCCGCGGTGCGATGCACGTGTTTAGTTGCCCTGTGATACGTGGAATCTTTATGGACCACGGATCGAAACCGTGTCCTCTGCACTGGCAGGCTGATTCTTAACCACTGGACCACCAGAGAAGTCCTCTTTGAAATAATGAGCTTTTCAAGAAAGTTGTATGCCATTTTATTTGCTCAAGTGTTTTATATCTACCTGAATATTAATTTTTTCCATATGAGTTTGTTTCAAAAAAATTAATATACTTCAGACACCAGTAAATACTGTTGTGTCAGTAAGGAAGAAACAATGGGAAAAGGTCATTCTGTATTACACAGAACTGCAGTGTGTGCACTTTAGAAACTTTTATTGGTCTTGGTTGAATCCTGGAAGACATGAAACAGTAGCAGTTTCAAGAGGGGAACGTGAAGGGATTGTGGGAAATGACTCTCATTTGAGGATAGATGCTGCTGCCGCTGCTGCTGCTAGGTCTCTTCAGTCGTGTCTGACTCTTTGCCACCCCATGGACTGCAGCCCACCAGGCTCCTCTGTCCATGGGATTCTCCAGGCAAGAATACTGGAGTGGGTTGCCATTTCCTTCTCCAAGGCATGAAAGTGAAAAGTGAAAGTGAAGTCGCTCAGTCGTGTCTGACTCTTTGCCACCCCATGGACTGCAGCCCACCAGGCTCCTCCATCCATGGGATTTTCCAGGCAAGAGTACAGGAGTGGGGTGCCATTGCCTTCTCCGGAGGATAGATGAGAACCAGCTTTATCCTAGTTGCATACTGAAAACTGTTAGAAGGGAAAGGCTTAAAGAGGATATGATCATATTTTGTAAGATTATGAATAGTATGAATAGGGGGCTATTGTCTTAAGAAATACGTAACAAAGTAACTCTGGAATGTGCAAAGTAGATTTAAGGCAAAACTAAGTGCTGGGTTGGGAAGATCCCATGGAGAAGGAAGTGGCAACCCACTCCAGTATTCTTGCCTGGAGAGTCCCATGGTCAGAGGAGGCTAGCAGGCCACAGTCCGTGGGGTCACAAAAGAGTCAGACACAACTGAGCGACTAACATTCCCACAAATGCCGAAATAAGTATTGGCTGATAACTAACTTTTCAAAAGGCAAGACAGACTAAGAAAGGTTTAAGTAAAATTTAGGATAATAAAGGGATACAGGAAGCTGTGGATCTTTGGGGACTCATCCCCAGTCCTTGCGAGGGTTAGCATGGAAGTTAGCATGTCCTTCCACAGACTACCTTCTCTGCGGTTATCAGAAACGCAGGCTGAAGATTTATTCCGCTAGACAGAGTTTTTGTTCTTCCTGTGTTATTTACTTTCTCTTTCACTCTCCCCTAGCTTTTTTTTGGAAGTGATACCTTTCTGGTAGAGTAGAAGGACTTTATTTTACTATGAGTTTTCTTTGGTTCACCTCTTCATAACCATGTTGTGTTTCTGTTACTTCTCTCTGTTATGTAGTTTATTCCACACTGCTGTGGTCTTCCCGTTCAGTTAGCATATGATTTCACNTTCTGTTACTTCTCTCTGTTATGTAGTTTATTCCACACTGCTGTGGTCTTCCCGTTCAGTTAGCATATGATTTCACCCATCTTCTGCTCAGTGTAGACCTGTTTCTTTCACAGTTCCTGAATAAAGGATAGAGACTTGTAGCAGATCAGATATCAGGTTCTGTGTTTTTTTACTGTGAATGTCCTTTCATTTGAAACTTACTAGTGATTATAGTGATAGAATATTTATAATGAAGAAAAACTCAAGTTCAGTTAGACCTAAGTATATCTCTAAATGAATACTGTAAATGATTCAGAAAAAGAAGCTCAATCATTTGAAGTTGTCACAAAGCACCCCCATTTGAAATCTAGTAAGTCCGTTGCCAATTTGTAAGACACTTAACAATTTAAAAAAAGCTAAAAATGACACTTACCCTTACAACATCTTATACACTTTTTATGTTTGCTTTGAGAAGGACTAAAATTTGAATATTTTCTGGGAGCCTGGGTTTTATTGAAGAAAATTGCCATGGCGTATGGCATGCGCATCTCTGCCTTGTTACTATGCGGGCGTTATAGGTCCCACAGAGTACAGCATCCTGCAGTAGGTAAAAGGCATTGTGTACTTACTACTGTGATTGTAGGAAACATTGCCAATTTTTAAAGTAACAAAACATGATTGTTTTCTTTTATAGCTATGTCTGGTGAGAACAGAGAAAATACACTGTTTTATTCTGAAATTCCCAAAACCATCAACAGAGCAGCAGTCTTAATGCTGTCTTGGAAGCCTCTTTTGGATCTTTTTCAGGTAGGATTAAGTGTTGTTATTATTAATGATTTTGTGTATGTTTTTAGTATTGCATTTATTTAGGGGCAGAAATTCAATTGGGATCTTATATTTGAAGTAGATATGAATCAAAAGGAATTGTGATATATGTTAAAGTAATAATAAAAAATAATTTTAAAAGACCAATAAGCCATAATATAAAAACAAGAATTAAAACATTTTTATGTTTTTCCATGTATGACCCTGAAATTTCATTTAATTCTCAATATCTGAGACCAGGGATATTAGATGTTATTAATACAATTCAGGTTTTCTTTTTGGCTACCCAGTGTGGTGTAGCATGTAGGATCTTAGTTCCCCTACCTGGGATCAAACGCACACCCCCTGCATCGGAAGCACGGACTCTTTAACTACTAGACCGCCAGGAAAGTTCCCAGATTTTTTTTTTTAACTTCCTTCTCCCTGTTTAACCACCTTTCCCTTCTGTAAACTTGCTAGTTACATGGTTCTCACATTTTGGGAGAGAATTGTTCACATAAAAGAAGTAATATATATTTCCTGAAAGCTTTTGTTTAAATCTTTAAATTGAATTTGTAGTTCTAATATTTAGTAACAGAACTAACATAAAGATTAAATAAAGGTAAAAAGTCCAATTTTTGTTTCTGAATAGCATGATTCAATTTAGGGAAAATCAAAGGTTAAGTTTTTTTTCCTTCAATATTTTGTCCTTACACAAAATGTAAATGGTCGAAAGTATCATAAGAACAAGATCATAGTTTGGGTACAATTGTTTGCCTTTTAGGTTCTCACTTATTATTTTTACATTGAATATTATTGAATGGCATATTTGGGCTAAATGAAGCAAAATGTGATATTTCTCTTAGGAATAAAAAAAAAAATAGCTTCCATGACAGCTAACCATTTTGACTATAACTGTTTATCAGGGATGTTGTTTTTCACATTGGTTTGTGACTTTTCTTTAAAGCAGAAACATTTCTTTCTCTAAGAACAGTGTGTTGAACTAAAATAATGGTAGTTTTCACATGGAATAGGTTGTAAATTAGTGAGTCAGAGGTTTTTGTGTTTTTTTTTTTTTTTTTGAGGTCTATTATGGAAAATTTCAAACCATACAAAAGTAGAATCCCATGTGAACTAGTTTTAACTATGATCACATCTTGGCCATCAGCGTTTCATTACAACCTTACCAATCCCCACCCCCACTTTTCAGATTATTTTGAAAGAGTTCCCAAATATATCATTTCACTCCTAAATAGATCACGTCTCTAAAGAATAAATACTCTTTTTAGACATTACCACAATATCATCATATCTTAAAAAAAATCATTGATCATTTATTTCTTCATATAAAATGTTCAAATTTTCTTGATTTTTAGATAAACGTTCTCTTTTTTTTTACACTTGATTTGTTAAATAGAGTTGAAATATGTTTCATATGTTTCATATGTTACATTTGATTGTTAGGTTTCTTAAGTTTCTCTTACTTTTAATCCTCTGATTTTCTTTCTGTCCTTTTCTCCCCATTGTGGTTTATCTATTGAAGAAAGAGGATCTGTTCTGCTGATTGTATTCCTATGGTGTTATTTGATACATTCTTCAGTTTCCTGTATTTTCTGTAAATAGAAATAGGTAGTCAGATCTAGAAGCTTGATTAGACACAGGTTTGCTTCCCCTCCCCGCCCAAAAATAGTTTACAGATCAAAAAAGTTGAAAGCAAGGTCTTGAACAAATAATTCTACACCATGTCCATAGCAGCATTATTCATAATAGCCAAAGTGTCCATGGACAGATGAATGAATAAACAAAGTCTGGCATATACATGTGATAGAATATTATTCAGCCTTAAAAAGGAAAGAAATTATGACATGCTACAACATCAAGGAACCATGAAGACATTATGATAAGTGAAATAAGCCAATCAGGAAAGGACAAACACTATTTGACTCCACTTATGTGGGATGCCTAAAGTAGTCAAATAGACTACCAGAATGGTAGTTGCCAGGGACTGAGGGAAAGAAAAGTGAGGAGGTGCTGTTTAATAAGTTTAATGGATATAGAGTTTCAGTTGTGCAAAATGGTGAAGTTCTGGAGATGGGTTGCACAACAATGTGAATATAATTAACAGTACTGACCAGTACACTTTAAAAACTTGTTAAGGTGGTAAATTATATGTTATATGTATTTACATGTATATATATTTTTTTGTACAACAATTAAAAAAGTAAAGAATACTTCATTGATAATGTTGTATGCCCCCATCAAAAGTCATATAGAGCTTTAGTTTCTTGTGATGATAGCATTGTTTGATCATTACCTAGATCTATTATAAAACAGTGATTTTTATCATTCCTTCTTCATTAACTGAGAGATTTCTATAAAGAGAAAAGTGCTATTCAACAGTTACTCAGTTATCCTGAGGAGGAGTTCACAATAGAAAGGCAGGATGTTTCTTTCCTTTATTTCCCATTTTTCAAACACAGTCTTCTATGTGTGATAAATTAAGAGTTTTGGGGGGTATTTTGTTTTCATTTTTATATCTTATAAACTTACAGTGTAAGCCTGTTTGGTATCTTTTGATCCATTGACAGTTGTTGTTCTTATTGTGCAAATTATCTTATTTTTGATTGTTAGAATCCCCGTCAACTTGACATAACAAATCGTTTTGACACGATCCTGGTAGTAGTTGGTAGTTCTGTTACTTGGTATGGCGATGTTTCATGATCATCTTTCACATTGCTTTTCCCATGCTTGGAATCAGCCATATCTGTCTGCTTCCTTTAGAGAAAAGTGGTATTGAGAGACTTTGATCTGGGTACTAGATACTGAGAGGCAAGCCGTATACATAAGCTTTATTTGTTTTTACATCTCTGTTGTGTTGTACAGACAAATCATATTCAACCAGTTCCCTCTTGATGGACATTTTAGTTATTTTCAATCTTTGTATTATAAATAGTACTGCAGTAAAATGGCTTGGGCATACAACTTTTTACATTTTGCCAGTGTATCTTGAAACTAGAGTCCTAGAGCTGAAATCATTGGACTAAATGGTACATGGTTTTATAATTTTGCTAGGCATCAAATTTCCTTCCATAGGAGTTGTGCCATTATGAATTTCCATCAGCAAGGAATAATTGTACCTGTTTTCCCATAGATTCTCCAACACAGTTTGTAGTCAGACATTTGGATTTTTTGCAAATCTGATGGAAATGCTATCCCAACTGTAGTTTAATTTGCTATTCTTTTGTATGCAGAATTGATCATCTTTTTATCTATAAACCATTTTTTTCTTTCCTTTATTTCCCATTTTTCAAACACAGTCTTCTATGTGTGATAAATTAAGAGTTTTGGGGGGTATTTTGTTTTCATTTTTATATCTTATAAACTTACAGTGTAAGCCTGTTTGGTATCTTTTGATCCATTGACAGTTGTTGTTCTTATTGTGCAAATTATCTTATTTTTGATTGTTAGAATCCCCGTCAACTTGACATAACAAATCGTTTTGACACGATCCTGGTAGTAGTTGGTAGTTCTGTTACTTGGTATGGCGATGTTTCATGATCATCTTTCACATTGCTTTTCCCATGCTTGGAATCAGCCATATCTGTCTGCTTCCTTTAGAGAAAAGTGGTATTGAGAGACTTTGATCTGGGTACTAGATACTGAGGGGCAAGCCGTATACATAAGCTTTATTTGTTTTTACATCTCTGTTGTGTTGTACAGACAAATCATATTCAACCAGTTCCCTCTTGATGGACATTTTAGTTATTTTCAATCTTTGTATTATAAATAGTACTGCAGTAAAATGGCTTGGGCATACAACTTTTTACATTTTGCCAGTGTATCTTGAAACTAGAGTCCTAGAGCTGAAATCATTGGACTAAATGGTACATGGTTTTATAATTTTGCTAGGCATCAAATTTCCTTCCATAGGAGTTGTGCCATTATGAATTTCCATCAGCAAGGAATAATTGTACCTGTTTTCCCATAGATTCTCCAACACAGTTTGTAGTCAGACATTTGGATTTTTTGCAAATCTGATGGAAATGCTATCCCAACTGTAGTTTAATTTGCTATTCTTTTGTATGCAGAATTGATCATCTTTTTATCTATAAACCATTTTTATGTTACGTGGTTCTTTTTTCATTTTTAGAAACCTTTTATTTCCTAGAGATATTAACCCTTTGTGATATAGTTTCAGATGTTTTCATGAAGTTGTAATTTGTGTTTTTACTTTCTTTATGGTGTGTGTGTGTGTCTGTGTGCATGTGCTCACACACCACATGAAAGATTTTTGTATGATAAAATGTATCCTTTTGATACTGCTTCCAGAATTTGTCTTATGTCATAGGACAGTTTTTCTACACTCAGGTTATAAAAGAATTTACCCATGTTTTCATCTAGTGCTTTATATGGTTTCACTTTTTAAAGGTTTATTGAGGTATAATTGCCGTATAAAAATTGCAAGTATTCAAGTGTATGGTTTACTAGATTTGGCTATGCATTTATACTTTTATTTATTTTTTCATTAAAAATGATTTTTTAAAGCAATTTTAGGCTTACCATAAAGTTGAGAGGAAAATACAAAGATTTCAATCCATATGATTATTTTATTAAATTTTTATTAGAGTGTAGTTGGCTTACAGTGTTATCTTAGTTTCAGGTATACAGCAGAGTGAATCAGTTATACATTTACATATGCATGCTTTTGTAGCTTATTGTCTCATATAGGCCATTACAGAATATTGAGTGAGTTTCCTGTGGTATAGAGTAGGTCCTTATCAGTTATCTACTTTATACATGATAGTCTGTATGTGTCAGTCCCAATCTCCCAATTTATCCCTCCTCCCACTTAATTGGTATCTATATTTATTTTTAGATTCCACATATAAGCAGTATCATATGATACTTGTCTTTGACTTCACTCAATGTGGCAACCTCTGGGTCCATTCATATTGCTGCAGATGGCATTATTTCATCCTTTTTTGTGGCTGAGTGATATTCCACTGTACATATGTACCATATCTTTTTTGTTTATTCTTCTGTTGATGGACATTTAGGTTGCTTCCATGTCCTGGCTACTGTAAATAGTGCTGCAATGCATGTTGGGGTGCATGTATCTTTTTAAATTATGTGTTTTTCCAGATATATAAACTTGACTACTTTTAAAGTATTAGTCCTTGAGACGTCCCTGATGGTCCAGTGATTGGGACTCCATGCTTCCACTGTGGGAGACCAAAGTTTGATTGGGAAACTAAAATCCTGCAAGCTGTGGCATGGCTAAATAAAATAAAATAAAGTAATTACTCCTTGATCGCAGAAACCATGTCTGTTTCCCTTATTTATCCCTTTATTTATCATAAAGAGCTCTTAGGGAAGATGTGGATATAAATTCTTTAAACTAGCACTTATTAAATTTGTTTTCTTTATATGTCTTCTTATACATATGAAATTATATATATATATATATATATATCAATACTTTTGGTTTGGGAAGGCCCCTCATCATCATCAGTCATTAATTACAAATATTCTTTGAGGGAGATTTTAACTGTTGCTTTAGGTGGGAAAACAAAATAAGACAGATTCTGCTCTCAAGGTTGTTTTTAATTCATTTACTGAAAGAACGTGAAAAACAAAACTATAGCCAAATGAGTAAAAGAGATAGTAACTCTTATATAAATATCAGGAAGCTTTCNCCTGGAGAATCCCAGGGGCGGCGGAGCCTGGTGGGCAGCCGTCTAAGGGGTCATGCAGAGTCGGACACGACTGAAGCGACTTAGCAGTAGCAGCAGCAGCGAATGTAGTGGAAAGGTACTAATGACAGCTGATGTTTGAGAACTTTGCTCTGTCCCAGTCATTGTGCTAATAAGCATTTTACATGCTTGTATCTAAGGTAATCTTCACAGTGCTGAAGTAGGTAGTTTATTACTGCTCTGAAAGTAAAGAAAACTAGTTTTGAAAAAATTAAACTACTTCAGAGTCTCCTCTTAAATGCACGCAGAGCTGCTGTGTTATATTTAAGTTGCAGGAGATCTTGAGTGCCAAGTCAAGGTGATGGAGCTTAACTCTTGCTCTTTAATGAATGCAGTATTCATCTAGGGACCTTTTACCAAATTTTTCAGCAGACTTGCCGAGATTAATCTGTTTAAAGTTGTAACAAATTTTGGGATCACTCAAAATGTAAACTCAGTAATACTGTTGATGCTAGAATTTCAGTGCTAAAAAAAAAAAAGAAAAAGAAGAATTTCAGTGCTATTAATAAAAGCAAAAAGCCCGCTTTCAGAAAACTGGAATAGGAGACCTCTCTCTTTCTGCATTAGGCAACACTGGACTATGGAATGTATTCTCGAGAAGAAGAACTATTACGGGAAAGAAAACGCATTGGAACAGTTGGAATTGCTTCTTATGATTATCACCAAGGAAGTGGAACATTTCTATTTCAAGCTGGTAGTGGAATTTACCATGTAAAAGATGGAGGGCCACAAGGATTTACTGTAAGTTGATTTTACTACTTGATAAACTGTTAGGTGTCTTAAAATTATTTGTGTCCAAATCAGAAAGATAGTTAAACTAAAAAATTCTGCTTACCAGTTATTTACCACTAACTTAGTAGTAAAGAAAATAGGAAATATGGGTATTAATTTCTAATTTTTATTTAATAATTTTTCAGTGACATTAGTTATATAATTTTTAAAACACTGAAAACACTTGTTACATAGGAAGAGTTAGTAAAGGGAATCCGTGTGCCCTTTTTTTCTGTAATTGCTAAGTTGGATTTTCAAAGATAATGATATCACAAGACAATCCCTTTTTGGTTCTTCTAAAAGCTTAGTTCATCTCAATAAATAGTTTTAAATTTTGATTTTATTCCAGGCAGTTTTTCATTTGATATTAGAACTGTTCTTCTGATAGAATTGTGATGCTTCTAGCTTTCATTACAATTTTATGAACAAATTATTTTGTACTGGTAAAATTAAATGGAAACATTTAATAAGTGAAATAGGCATATAAGTTTAATAAAAGTGTACAACAAATGATAATTACTCTATTTAACAGGTCTGGTCAACAAAATTTATGAGGTGCTGTTATATTGTCTTTATTTCTGTTCCTATTATGCTTAGCTTATTAATTCATAGGGAAAAAATGATTCATTTCTTATAACTTAAGGCAAATAAGTACAGTTTTCTGGAGAGCAGTTATCACAGTTGATATTATACTTGGGATTTTATAGGAAAGGTGCTGGTAAACACCCAGTATTATATGTATGTAAATACATAAGTGTAAGCCTGATACTTGCCTTTAAATGTTGTTTACTTTTCTAGCAACAACCCTTACGGCCCAATTTAGTGGAGACTAGTTGTCCCAACATTCGGATGGATCCAAAACTATGCCCAGCTGATCCAGACTGGATTGCTTTTATACATAGCAATGATATTTGGATATCAAACATTGTAACGAGAGAAGAAAGGAGGCTCACTTATGTGCACAATGGTAATTCAAGTTCTTCAGATCAATTTTCCTAAAATGTATTTTTAAAATTTAATTTGCTTTTGCTTACATTTTGAAATCAAACATGCTGGGTGATCTTTATATTTTAAATTTAAATCTTTAAAATTAAAAAAGAAATACAACTTTTTTTATAAACTTGTATGTATCACCTATATAATGCTACTTGTTTTTTTTGAAGTTGATGGCTATGTTTAATGCCTTGATTTTGCTGATATTATAGGTGTCTTCACATGTCAAAATAATCAAGTATATATTCAATGCATGCACTTTTAATATCAACTATACCTCAGTAAACCTTAGAAAAGATGATAGTGAAGCTTAAACAACAAAAAAAATACAAGTTTCTGAGAACATTAGATTACATATAATTTCCTATAGGGAAAGAGAAAGAACTGCCTCTACCACGACGAAAAATGAAATAACAGAAACAAAAAGAATCATTGTAATGCTGGCTTGTTTCAATGGTTATTTTCGGACAGCACAGCAGTAGCACTTCTCTGATTGAAATAAAATTTAATTTAAAAAGTCTTGTTTTTAGGAAAACAAGCAGAAAAACTCAGTACACACTGTAAGAACTACTTAAAAATTTATTTTCTCTTTTTGGAGAGCCTGCTTAGTTATTTTGTCATAATAGGAAAAATAAACCTTTCTATGTTGTGGAAATATTTAATTTTTATTGAAGTGACTATAATCATGCTAAGCACTACTAAAAGGGCTTCCGTTGTGGCTCAGCTGGTAAAGAATCCTCCTACAATGCAGGAGACCTGGGTTCGATCCCTGGGTTGGGATGATCCCCTGGAGAAGGGAAAGGCTACCTATTCCAGTATTCTGGCCTAGAGAATTCCTTGGGCTGTATAGTCCATGGGGTCGTGAAGATTCAGACATGACTGAGCCACTTTCACTAAAAGCACAGAAATGATGTGGATTTTTTCCTTTTTCCTCTAAAGTTTTTATACAAATGAAAGAAGGGAAATGGTGTATTTTTTTTTAACATGGAAATAGACCTTAAGGTTAAGCTCCATGGTGAAGGACAGTCCCTCTAAAAATTGATTGTCCAACTTTCCCATAATTTGATGGTCACAAAACTGATTTATTGGGCATGGGCATCTTCCTTAATAAATTATTTTAGAACATGAATGTGTATTGGCAATAGTTTTTTCATCTTTAGGATAGTCAGTGTTATAGAAGAAGCCTTTTCCTGAACAACTTACATTGATCTAAAAAAGCACTGAATTAGAAGTCAAGAAATCTGTTCTAACTATTGTCAGTCAACAAAGATATATCAAGTTCCTGTGTGCCAGACAATGTGGCAGGAACTAAGAATACAGAATTGAATAAGACATAATCCTGGCCCTAAAGGAAACTTTATAAAGAGATAACAAAACAGAATGATAAACAGCAAGCATTGGGCGTTATAAGAGTACAGGCAAGGGTAGTGGTCCCAGAAGTTTACCTGAAGAGATGAGACTTGAACTGCTCTCAAATAGTGACTGTACATTAGCCAGTACACTCCAGCCAAGGGGACAGCCTGGAAAGGCCTCGATGCAGAAGGCGCCACAGTCTGTATGAATTAGAAGCAGTCTTACGCTCCCAAAGCATGCGGTATGAGTCCAGATACAGAGAAAGGTGAAGCTGACACATACGGGCAAGGAGAAGGGTGGACTATTTCTTATGTAAATGAATATAGCCTTCAATCATGATAGGGGGGTTCACTGGAAAAAGTTTTTAGCAGTTGAGTAGTGTGGTCAGAGTCATATTGTAGATAAATTGTTCTGAATACTTTGTAAAAGTTATATTTGAGAAGTGCACGTCTAGAGACAGGGCAGAGCTTAACTAGTGTAAATACTGTAAATACCCAGGTCTTAACAACCTAAAACTAGAGTGTAGAATAGAGAAAAGGGGGTGGAGTAGGGAAATTTTTAAGTAAAATGTCCATATTTTGGTGTTTAATGAGTCTTCATCTGGAGTCAGGAAATCAGGACAGCTACCACTGGCAAAGCAAAGTTCAGGTTAGTAGTTAGTAAATCTGGGATGCAAATCCTAGCCATTTGTTCATGGTTTCAACAAACATTAGAGACTCACTATGTACTAGTTATTGTGCTTGAGGCTGGGACTGCTTTGACAGTGACTGTTAGAAATAAGGCATGTTTTTAGTCTGTATATTTTTTCTTTTGGTAGGATTGTTTTCCATAAAGGATTATTGTGAAAATTGGCAGAATTTAAAGTAGAAACCTCTGAAATCCTGCTGGATGTGTGTGCACGCTGGATGTGTGTGTGTGTTGGAATTTATTTTATCAATCTGTGAGGTGATTCTCTTGTGTGACATTTTTCTTTGTGACAATTTTATTTCTGTTTGGCTGTGCTGGGTCTTGGTTGCTGCGGAGGCCTTTCTCTAGTTGCGGTGAGTGGGGGCTACTCTTCGTTGCCGTGTGTAGGCTGCTTAGTGCGGAGGTTCTTTTGTTGCAGAGCAAGGGCTGCGGGCACGCGGGCTGCGTGGTTGATGCACGTGGGCTCGTATTTGGGGATCACAGGCTCTAGAGCACAGACTCAGTAGTTGTGGTGCGCAGGCTTAGCTGCTCCGTGGCGTATGGGATCTTCCCAGACCGGGGATTGAGCCTGTGTCTCCTGCATTGGCAGGCAGATTCTTTACCACTGAGCCACCAGGGAAGCCCACTGTAATACTGTTTTTATTAATTTCTTTTCTGTGCATGTAGGCATATGGTATATTGTTTATTTTCAGGGTTAGTGTAGTAGTTAAAAATACAGTCTAGAACTGGAGTATCTAGGTTTGAGTCTCATCTACTGTTTTTTACTTCTGTTCCTTTGAGTAAGTTGTTTAACGTATCTTTGTTTTAATATCTTTAGAAAGGTTAATGAATAGCATGTCATCATAAGGTTGTTATTGAAGTTTTAATATTTGCGAAGTGTTTTAGACAGGGTCTGAAACACAGTAAGTACTGTTTAATTTGTTTATTTAGAAAAGTAGGTAGAGAGTAAGCATCATCACTTTTATTTCTCTTATCACAGTAAGTTGCCAAGTGAAAGTCTTCTTTTGCATGGGTTTATTAGTCACTCAGCATGTGCATTGGCTTATTCTCCGCCTTGTGTAAGAGAGAAACTTAATGTAATACCAGCCTCTATTCTCAAAGGACATATCTTATTGGGAGAACAGGTGATACCATTTATTCATCTAATTAATCTTAGTAATTGAGGTCATCACCAGAGACGCCCGTAATAAGTGACAGAGAGATAATAAGTGAGTGATATGTATTCTCACATCTACAGGAGAACAAAATATCAAACAGTATGGGAGGTATAACTTTGGAGTCATTGAACGATCCAAGAAAACTGAGCACTGATGGCTACATCATTAATTAACAAAATTCAGAAATCCTGAAAACGGAGCTTAGTTTTGATTAAGTTGGTGCTAAAACTTCTTTGGTGGCAAGATGTGACCTGAACTGACCTGAGGATATTTATAGTCTTAATCCTACTTAGTTTGCCTATTCCTAAATTTGCTGTAAGAATATTAGTGTATTTGATTACCAAGGTATTTGATTACCCTGCTGGAGATATGACATAATTATGTGTTGATATATAAACATGAAAAGAATTCCCCAGATTCTGTGTTTTGAACACTTCTGGACTCAAAATTTTGTTGTTGTTTTCTAACTTGATTTTTATTTTATATTATAGTTGATTTACAGTGTTGTGTTAGTTTTAGGTGTATTGCAGTGATTCAGTTATATCTATTCTTTTTCAAATGATTTTCCCATTTAGATTATTGCACAGTATTGAATAGAGTTCCCTGTGATTTACAGTAAGACCTTTAGGTTATCTGATATTTTATATATAGTAGTTTATTTATGTTAAGAGTGCCAATTTCTTTTCTTTTACATATGTGTATAGAAACCAATATTTGTTGTTTAGTCACTAGTGATATCCAACTCTTTTGCCATTTCCTTCTCAAAATTTTTTGGTAAGGGTCAATTGGTTCATATTACACATTCTTTTCAGGCAATATATAGAAAATACAGATAAGAAAAAATAATACATTGAAACTTGCCTATAAAATTAAAATCACTGTGAAATATCACTATACACCCATTAGAACACCAAATATTGGAGAAGAATTTTCATACATTGCTGGTAAGTGTATAAAATAATACAGATACTTTGAAAAACTATGTGGCAGTTTCTTATAAATTTAAACATAAAATTATCACACTACCCAAGCATTCCACTCCTAGGTTTTTATTCAGAGAAATGAAAACACATGTTCCCAAAGATTTTTATACAAGAATGATTTCTGTTGAGCTCTTAGAGATTTTGGTCTGTTGGCTAAATGCACATAGCTTAGCTAACTGTTAGAATTGGATGAAACCTATGAATATAATAAATATCAGAAGACATATAAATATTTAACCTATCATTGTATATCAGAGTTTCCATCGGGATAATTCAAACTTCTGTCAGTATCCTGACTGATCAGAAAACTTGAATGAAAAATCAGAAATCTCAGGGAAAAACACAAAAACCTTTTCTGCAGAGTAAACTTTAAACATCAAATAAGATTAGACTAAAATCTTATATTTTTGTAAATTGATAAATGACATTTTAAAATAAATACTTAGTTTGCTTCAGATAAATTTTTTCTGAGCAAATGTGAGTTTCAGAATTGACAATAAAATTCTTAGCTAAAACTGATGTATCAAACTTCTGTTTTGTATGTAAGATCAGGTTTTGTAGAAACTATACAAGAATATATGTACTTGCACACAAAAGTTTTTGAGATGGAGAGGTAACTTGAATTCTGTGAACACCCCAATAAATGTGACTAATGTCAGAAAAATAAAAGAATGATTTTAGCATCTTGATTCATTATAGCAACTAGAAGCTATTTAAATGTCCATTAACAGATGAATGGATAAAAGAATTGTGATATACAATGGATTATCACTCAGTAACAAGCATAAAGTATATACTGTATGATTTCACTTACATGAAAGTCTGGAATATGTGAAACTAACCTTTGGTGATAGAAATCAGATCAGTGGTGCTTCTGAGGCAGGAATGGACATTGACTGGGAAGGGACAAGAGAATGGAAATATTCTATGTCTTGATAGGGTTAGGAGAGTAGAAGTCACCGTGACCCTGCAAAGACATGTATTCTTTTCCCCAGGGCCCTAGCTAAATGGGAAAATAAAAACACATGTTGGTTTAGGCTTTGTTGTAAGTACTTTATGTAAAATAGCTCATTTAATCCTCATAACAACCATATAAGGTAGGGTCTTATTCCCATTTAGAAATGGGACACGGCAACGGAATGTGATCGGGTGATTTGCCCAGGATCAGTCATTTGGTGGATGATGGAATCCAGATTTGAATTCAGTCCATTTGGCTTCACAGTTCACCATGATACTATAGCTGCCTTTCAAAATAAATGGATCATTCTGCTTTGTACCTGTGAAGAGATGAGAACTTCTGTGAAAATTTTGCCTCTGTGTTTGTTTAGAGCTAGCCAACATGGAAGAGGATCCCAGATCAGCTGGAGTTGCTACCTTTGTTCTTCAAGAAGAATTTGATAGATACTCTGGTTATTGGTGGTGTCCAGAAGCTGAAACAAGTAAGAGGGTTCAAAATAATATACTATAAGTCAGTTAAAGTATTATGAGATTCAACTACCAGTTAGTTAACTGCACAGATTCTTAATTCCAAATAGTAGATTCTTAAGTGGTGAAGATTGGATCTTATCAGTAGTTACTGTGAATATTCAGGCTGTATATCACCATAATGAATTCTCATAAAAAACAATTAGTTGTATTATGGTTCAGTGCCCCAGGTCCTTCAACTCTCCTTGCCAGTTTTTCTTTTTTTAATTTTTTTTTTTTTCTTTTTTAAGAAAGAAAAAAACTACTTTTTTTGGCTGCACCATGCAGCATATGGGATCTTCCTCAATCAGGGATCAAACCTATGCCCCCTGCCTTGGAAGCACAGTCTCAGCCACTGGACCACCATGGAAGTCCCGCCAGTTTTTCATCTGGAAGCTGGTTGGTGGCAACACTGGTAGCAAAATAAAAAATACCACCCTTTAGTGGGAGTTGCTGTAAAATTGCCTAGAGAGTCTGCATGAACAGATGGCCAAATTAGTATATGAATGGATCAGGAAAAAAAAGGCAAAAATTCCTTCTTTTTCTTTGTGAATTCACAAGTATTTCACTAGCTGAGAAACAGCTCTCTAAAGCAGTAGCTTTCAAACTTTTTGACTGTGATCTGGTTAGAAATTTGCTTTACATTCTAGCCTAATACATTGTATGTATATTCTACATAAAACTGAAAACAAATTTCATGAAGCAATGCTTAATCTTATATATAATGCACTCATATTTTTTTTTGCTTGTCTTATTTTTTAAATGCTGATTATGACCAACTAAAAGATTTCATGACCCACTAATGGATTGCACGTAGCATTCTGAACACATCTCTAAGGGACCCTGAAAAATATTTATATTTAAGCCATATCTTAGATTTGGACATTTTAAGATGTAAAATGTTTTGCCATAACTATGTTCTTATAACAAGATTATGATATGAATTAGAGAAACCATTTAAAAAAACCTGGAATCCTTTAAAGTGGGATTTATTTTGTATAGAAAATATTGTAAGTGTAATAATTCCTGAAAGGAATGCATTTTAAGGTATGCAGGAACTGAAATACTTCACAAGTGTGTTTCTTCCATTTTGTGTGTGTGTGTGTGTGTGTGTGTGTGTGTGTGATGATCTTCAGTTTTTATCTCCAAGAGTAGTAACCTTTAACCAATAAAAGTGAATTAGCAGTAACTCACCTTGCTACTGCAAAGATTAGTAGTATTTTCATACATGAAAGGCAGTATATTTTATACATAAACTATTTTTTACTATGGGAAATAGAATATTAGAGGGAATGTTCAATGGTGATGATTTTCTGGCATAATACTCCCAAATTTTCAATATTTAATTTCCTTTTAAGCTCCCAGTGGCAGTAAAATTCTTAGAATTCTATATGAAGAAAATGATGAATCTGAGGTGGAAATTATTCATGTTACATCCCCTATGTTGGAAACAAGGAGAGCAGATTCATTCCGTTATCCTAAAACAGGTACTACATTCCATTGACATTTATATACACTGATTCCTACTTTTCAAACAAGATTCTTTTGCATTCGTTCAAAAGTTTGGTTAACATTGATCCTTTACAGACCGAAGGATAAGTGTCTCTAAAGTAAATTTTTTAAATTATAGGCTGATCCTTTTAAATTATTTCAAAGGTAGGGAAGTGCACAAAACTGATTATTTCAAGGAATGGATAAAGAAGTATCTTTGCTACAAAATAAAAGATTTTTAAGGGATTATGTTCTTAATAAATTAGCAATTTTTCCCCCATATTGCTATTTATAGCATTTCAGTTGTGAAATGATGTAGGATTCCCCTTCATTACCTACTAACTCCTGATGTTTTTTGGCTCCTTTTATAGTCATATTGAAAATTATGAATTTGAGATAGAATTTTGAGTTTTTTATGTAATAAAGCCCTGACTAAATGCAATATTCCTTATTTGACTAAAAAGGATTCATCTGGTAAAATTAGTTTAAATAGCTTTATATTACTGTTTGTTTACATCTCTTCCTAAAGGCACAGCAAATCCAAAAGTCACTTTTAAGATGTCAGAAATACTGATTGATGCTGAAGGAAGGGTAAGTATAAAATGCTGAGTTAACTTTTTGTGTCATTTTGTCCATCAACAGAGATTGTAAATACGCTCTGTTATATTTTGGACTTGTGGAACTTTCTGAGACATCTGTAGATCATGATTTCAGGTTGACCTCATTTTCTACTTTGAAAACTTTCTTACTGGTTCCCAAGTTAGGAATATGGGGAGATGCATATTTACCATTCCTTTGCAGTATTTTTTCCTCTTTGCCTTTGTTAATTCTCCAGATCAGTATTTCTTAAATAGTGTTTATTGACTGATAAGTTATATCCCTCATGTTTTTTATGCTGCTGCTTTCCACAGTCAGATGCCTATAAGCTTAATGTACACATAATTTTAAAACAATCTTCTCTGCTAGACTTTTTAAAAACAGTTTTATTGAAGTATAATTCACATACAATATAATTCACTCATTTAAAGTTTAAAATGGCTTTTAGTATATTCTCAAGATTTGTGCAGCTATCACCACAGTCAATTTTAGAACATTTTCTTTACTTCTAAAGGAAATTCACATCCCTTAGTCATCACCCCCAAACCTCTCCATGCCCCCAGCCCTAGGCAGCCACTAATCTATTTTCTGTCTATGGATTTACCTGTTCTGGACATTTCATATAAATGGAATCATACAGTATCTAGTCTGTTCTTTCACTTAACATCTTGTTTTCAAGCACTAATCCTGTAGCACCAAGTAACAGCACTTCATTACTTTTTATCACCTAAAAATACTCTGTTGTGTGGATATATACCACATTTTATTTATCCACTCATCAGTTTTAGACATTTGGGTTCTTCCAAATTTTGGTTTCTAAACATAATGCTACCAATAATGTGGATGTACAAGTTTTTGTACGGTCATACATTTTCATTTCTCTTGGTTAGATACCTAGGAGTGGAATTGTTGGGTCATATTATAATTCTGCGTTTTAACCTTTTGAGGAACTTCCAAACGGTTTCTGCAGTGGCTGCACTATTTTATATTTCCACCAGCAGTGTATGAGGTTTCCAACTTCTCCACATCTTCATCAGCTCTGGTTATTATTTGTCTTATAGGCATCTTAGGAGATTTGAAGTTGCATCTTATTGTGGTTTTGATTTACATTTTTCTAATGACTAATGTTATTGAGCATCTTTTTGTGTGCTTATTGGCCATTTGTATGTCTTCTTTGGAGAGCAATCTATTCAGATCCTTTTGTTCATTTTTAGAAATGTATATTTTAAAGTGTGTTAGCCAGACTATTTAGGGAAAAAAGTTTGCTTACTCAAGATCATTTCACTAATATATTATACATATAGTATTTTAAACTAAAATGTAAGTAACTAGAGACTACTATTTTTCTTAGATACTAGAGTCTATAAAGTAATTAAAATCTGATTTTACCAGTTACAATCAAGAGTTCTATTAGTATAAACTCATGAAAAAAAACTTTTAGACTATGCTGATTCTTTTAGTTAGAACTTTTTTAGACATAAAGAACACCAGTAAAAGTAACCCATGACTTACTGCTGGTTTTGCTATATCCTGTGTACCTAAGACTGAACAAGTGTCACGCTGTTAAAGATAGTGCTTTAAGTAACCCAGTATCAGTCTTCTATAACTAGATTCCTTTTTTCTTTTTTAATAGATTATAGATGTCATAGATAAGGAACTAATTCAGCCTTTTGAGATTCTGTTTGAAGGAGTTGAATATATTGCCAGAGCTGGATGGACTCCAGAGGGAAAATAGTGCGTATGTTAAATTGTCACTTCTTTACAAATAATTTAGAACCCAGAACTGTCTGTGCTACTGGCTCTTCCTTTCCTTTGGAGCTGTTTTCACATGTAAATTTGCCATGTAGTTAGTTCTACACAAAGAATTTTTCCTGAACTAAGTGCACTTGTAATCCTATAAGCATAGGTGCATTGCATTTTATTTCTGTCTCTTATTTAGCCAGTGAGAGTTTCACAGTGTTATTTGTGGTTAAAGTAGGACTTTCAGGCTCATATGTAAGTATATATATATTTTTAATTGTATAATTTAAGCAGAAATATTTGTACAGCCTTATGTGAAGATGATTACATGTATTTTCTGTGTCTGATGTGGACAAAAGAGTTTTCATGGGGCTGGCATTTGTTGGCATTAAAGGGAGAAAATAATTTCAAAGGCCATCTGTGATTTTGGAAATTTAAAGAAAACTATTTTTAAAACCTCTACTCAAGCTTAACTTTAAAAAAATAAGTGCAATATGTATACCTATGGCTGATCGATGTTGATGTAAGGCAGAAACCAACACTATATTTTAATTATCCTTCAATTAATAATAAATTTTAAAAAATAAGTGTAGAATAAAGTAATACTTTTCATTAGCTGTTTGTAAGTGATAATTTAACATATACTAAAGCAATACTGTCACTGTGGTTACAGAAATAACTGATGGGTGCTAGGGGAAAGATTAGTGGAATATTCATTTTCCAAAAGTGAGCTTTATTTTGTGCTTTTCTTTTGTTTATTTAAATAGTGCGTGGGCCATCCTACTAGATCGCTCTCAAACTCGCCTACAGATAGTGTTGATCTCACCTGAATTATTTATCCCAGTAGAAGATGATGCCATGGAAAGACAGAGATTCATCGAGTCAGTGCCTGACTCTGTGACACCACTGATTATCTATGAAGAAACAACAGACATCTGGATAAATGTATACATATTTTCTTGTAATACTTGGTTTAAATATTTTCTCAAAATGTTAAAGTAAATGAAGCTTGATAGCAAACTATCAAAAGGAATTTTTGAAGTTCACAGTAATTTTGAATGTTATTTGCTTAGTTTGAACATTTCAAACTGGAATATTGGTTCCAAAATGGGGAGCGGTTTGTGGATGAAAGGTCGATGCCATTGCAATGACATCTCCCTGGATGCAGAATTGCCCTTGTTTCTGGACACATCAGATATTCAAAACACAACCTCTCCAGTGCCTCTGAGAGGACCACGAGAATCCTGACTAGAAAAGACTTTCTCTTTTAAGTTGGTAAACTATCCCAGAATATACCAGTTTTGGATTGAATTTTTCATTTTCCAATTTAATGGAAAAAACTTACACAAGATACAAAATAAATAAAGCCAGTTCACTCTCTGGCTGCATATAGGCTTCATGTGATTCACCTAACAGATAACATCTGTTTTCCCTTGAATTGTTAGAATATTTCTCTCTGGAAAAGTAGAAAAACATTTTTTCTCGTAATTCTTGTAATACGATTTATATCATTAAATAAACTTCATGCCATTTTTCAAAGAATTGCAGAGATGGTGGGTAAGAAACAGCTTTTGGTTCTATTTTTCATTTTTCTCCATTTGGAAACATTTATTTCTCAGTAGATGACGTCTTTGACTAAGATAAATATGAAAGGCCCAGGCGAAATCTGTAATTGTACATATACCATACCTCGTAATCTGACAAGTTACTTATATTTCAGAAAATGTATATCAAGTAATTCTTTCTCTCTGGCTTAGTCAAATTGTTTGCATAGTATTCTCATTAATGTATATAGTAAATTAATCTATTTATTTTACAGATCCATGACATCTTTCATGTTTTTCCCCAAAGTCATGAAGATGAAATTGAATTTATTTTTGCCTCTGAATGCAAAACAGGTTTCCGTCATTTATATAAAATCACATCCATTTTAAAGGAGAGCAAATATAAACGATCCAGTGGTGGGCTGCCTGCCCCAAGTAAGAAGTTATTTTCTATTAAAAAAAGGCAGAAGGTGGGAGGGTCAGGGCAATGTAAAGTCTCTTTTGTGTACTTTATAAGCATAGGACAAAGTTTTTGAAGGATACATAATAAGCTATTAATATTGGGTAATATTTGGGTATTACTTATTTTTGCTTTCTGTTTTCGCCTTGAATATACTTTTTGTTTCAAGTGAGCTCATGTAATTTTTAGATTTAAAAAGCTACTTTTAAAATGTTACAAAGTTATTAGATATTTGTATGTACTAGACTTTTTTTTTCCCCTATATTTTTATTAGTTGGAGGCTAATTACTTTACAATATTGTAGTGGTTTTTGACATACATTGACATGAATCAGCCATGGATTTACCGTTCTAGATTTTTTTATACCATCTGCACCTACGCTGAAGTTGACTTATAGGTATAGCTCTTCATATGATATAATTGTTTTCCAAAGTAAAATTAAATATTATGTCAGCTGAAATTAATTTCTTTTTTTAAAGTGTTGGGTTTCCTTCTGGGAAATGTAAAACAGATGAATGGGTAAACAAAATGTGTTTACACATACAATGGAATATTATTCAACCTTAAAAAGGCAGGACATCTGACACTTTCTACAATCCGGACGAACCTTGAAGACACTATACTAAATGAAATAACCCAGTCATTAAAGGACACATACTGTGTGATTCCATGTATATGAGGTAGCTAGAGCAGTCAAGTTCATAAACATAGAAAGTGGCTGCCGGGGGCTGAAAGGAGAATGTGTAAGCCTAGAAAAAATGAAATAGTGCATTGAATACTTCTGTGTTTTAAAAAAGACTGAGTTATGGTTTTCTACTTTAATAATACAGAGTTTGTTTTAGAATACTAGACATTTAATGATGTTATGTTATATACTTTACTGCCATTTATAACTTAACAGACTCAACATAGCCAGTTTTTAAAAACTGTGGTAAAATATGCATAACAAAATTTACCATTTTAAGTGTGTGGTTTCATGACATTAAGTATATTTCCCTACTATTCTGCAACCATCACCACCATCCATCTCCAGAATTTTTTTCATCTTCCAGAACTGATTCTGCCAATAAGTAATATCCAATTTAGTGGTAAATAATTAATAACTTCTCATTCCTTCCTCCTGTCAGCCTCCGGCAGCCACTTTCTATGTTTATGAATTTGACTGCTCTAGCTACCTCATATACATGGAATCACACAGTATGTGTCCTTTAATGACTGAGTTATTTCATTTAGTATAGTGTCTTCAAGGTTCTTTCGGATTGTAGAAAGTGTCAGATGTCCTGCCTTTTTAAGATTGAATAATATTCCATTGTCGGAGAAGGCAATGGCAACGCACTCCAGTACTCTTGCCTGGAAAATCCCATGGATAGAGGGGCCTGGTGGGCTGCAGTCATGGGGTCGCTAAGAGTCGGACACGACTGAGCAACTTCACTTTCACTTTTCACTTTCATGCACTGGAGAAGGAAATGGCAACCCACTCCAGTGTTATTGCCTGGAGAATCCCAGGGACGGCGGAGCCTGGTGGGCTGCTGTCTGTGGGGTCTCACAGAGTCGGCCACGACTGCAGTGACTTAGCAGCAGCAGCAGCAATATTCCATTGTACGTGTAAACACATTTTGTTTACCTGTTCATCTGTCTTTTAACAGTGAGGTTACTTCTACCTTTTGACCGTTATAAATAATGCTGTAAGGAGTGTGGGTGGACAAATACCAGTTTGAAGTCCTGCTTTCAATTCTTTTGGGTATATATCCAGAAGTGAAATTGCTTGGTATTTTAATTCTTTAAAGTTTTTTGAGGAACCACCATACTCTTTCAATAGCAGCTGCACCTTAATACATTCCTATTAGAAAGTGCACAGAAGTTCCAGTTTCTCTACATCCTTGCTGACGCTTGCTGTTTTCTGGGTGTAGTTCTTTTTTTGTTTGTTTTGTTTTGGTTTTTATTTTGTGGTGGGGTTTTGGTAAGAGCCATGCTAATGGATATGCAGTGGTATATCATTGTGCTTTTGATTTTCGTTTTCCTAGTATTTAGTAACATCATATTACTTAGCCAGTTTGTATCTCTTTAGAGAAATGTATGTTTGAATCCTTTGTGGACTTTTTAATTGGATTATTTGTTTTTCTCAACATACCCTTTAACATCATTCTTATTTGGGAAACACTGACTTACAATTTCGGACAGCAGAGTAAATACTCCCTATGACTTGCTCCTTCTCTTAGCATGAATTTTTTTTTTTTTTAATCAGACTAGATGTTGTATATCCAAGATAGAGATTTCTTCCCTAAGAGCCTTAGTTTAATTTTACCCTTGGTGTGAAATTGCTCTTACCTGTTCCTCTGTTGTTTAGACATTAAATCTACTTACAGATTCCAGAAAGTTTAGTGATGAAGACTGGTCAAAGAGCTATGAATAGTAATTCACGAAAACAACATTCTTGGGACATGGATTAAAAGATAACTTAAAATTTTATACTCCTATTGAAGAATAAGAGGCACTGTCCCCTCAGCTAACATTCTTTTCAGAACACCTAGACCCTGTCCCCTTCGGTGTCTGCTTCTGGACCATTCAGCTTGTCTACCTCTTTCCATTTCCCTCCTTTTTACTTAGACTTTCTTGCTCCAGATCTTCGTCCTTTTCCTTGATGTCCATTTTATTTTCCTCTTCCCTCCTCTTTTCTTCCGTAAGTGGCTATAATATGTAACAATTAGTATTTGTTAGATATTAAATAATACTTATTTTAACTGGTGATAAAATTTAAAATACTAAGTTAAATTTTTGTATCTAAGAAAAAGAAAATGAGTCTATTTTTTAACTTGAGTAGGACCCTACTTAAAGTCCTATATCATCTCAGCCTATTCTCAGCGATCGTTTTCAGAGCCAGAGCTGGCAGCAGCTAGGCAGAGAGCAGGGGTTTCTTTCTTTTTTTTTTTAACCTTCTCCACTGAGGCCACTGAGAGAGCCTCATCTACCAAGACAGAATCTTACAAAGATAAATGGAACATGTTGTTATTTACTGTGGTGGTTTTTTGCAATAATATGGTTTTGTTTTTTGCAATAATAAACAGTTGTATTAAAATTTTCCTTCTCTGGCTTAAGTAGTTTGTTGCATTTCTAGAAGAAATGCCTCATTGATGCATTAGATTGTTTTTGTCTGTCTAACCAAAGGTCTCTGAATGCAAGTGCTTTTGAGTTCTTTTCTGTCTTTACCATAAGAGTCTATTTTGCTGTTTTAACTTTAGTTACATGGATCATTCCATTACTATTAAGAAGACTCATAACTTGGAATTTTTTTTAACTGTAGACTTTATGTTGAGGTGAAATTCACATGACATTAACCTTTTTAAAGGGAACGTTTAGAATGAACAGTGGCATTTAGTACATTCAGTGTTGGGCAGCTACCACCTCTCTTTAGTTCCAAAGGATTTTCATTATTCTAGACATAACTTTGAATTTTTTAGTGTTCCGTTTTTGAAAAAGAGAGTTTAGAATACTGTTTTTCATTGTTTCATTTGCTTATAGTCTGATATAAAGTACTGAATTATAATTATATTTATCTTTAGGTGATTTCAAGTGTCCTATCAAAGAGGAAATAGCAATTACCAGTGGTGAATGGGAAGTTCTTGGCCGGCATGGATCTAATGTATGTTCTTTTATTCTACTGATATGTTTAGTCAACATCAGCTGTGTGTATGCAGTACTGAAAATCAGCAGTGCAACTTCACATGACCCCAGTATTTTCAAAATACTGCTAGGGCCTCAAAGAACCCAAGTTGTTGGAAAGGGAGAATCTTAGTTTAAATTCTAAATCTCACCCATTTAATAATGCTGATATTAGATGTGTTCTGGTTACTAAAGGTCACCATTTTCAGATGCAGTGTTGCATCTTAGTAAGGAAAAGGCTGGTCCATACTTTCCAAGTCTCGCAAAAGTGAGTGAGGATATAGCTTGAAAACGATTTCTGAGTCTCTTGTAGACTACTTGTGTTGTTTCTGCATTGGTGCGTTCACAGTTCCTGAGACAGTGATGCTCTTTCATTAGCCTGTTTATCTTATCTCACACATTTAAAGTTTCATATAACACTTGCAGATTATATTGGACATTTATACAGAGCATAGAGTGATAAGGAAAGGGAGGATGTCCACCCTCTGTTTCACTGTTGGCATATGGCTTGCTATAGCAACTCAATGAATTCTAGTTTTTTTCTTTTGCCTTTCATAGTACCTTGTATTTGTTTCAACTTTCAGTTAGATGGTCAGTTTCATGAGATCTCCAAGAGCTCCATCCTTTATATGTGTGATCCATAAAGTTAAGTTGAGGTATGCTACCAGGATTTAGTGAAGGCCTATGATTTCCTCAAATTGATTCAGAAATTTATTAAAGAATTATGTATACTGGCTACTATAGAAGTCACTCATAGTTCCTTAGGTGATTAAGGAGAAAGAATGAAGATACAGGCCCCAGGCTTGTTTTTGTTGGTGATAACTTTAGAATATAATAGGTGACCTTTAAAGTCTCATTTCCACTGACAGTGTCAGTTGGCCTTCTGGTTATATACTCAGTATATTTTTTTCTGTTTAGGGAATCTTTAAGTGTTACTGTCAGATGTTAGTGGAATTCTTAAGTTCTGTAAAGTTAAGTATATTTACACTAATATAAACTTCATGCTGTGTAATGGGGATAATACTGAGGGAAACCCCAGAATTATACAAAGCTTGGGCAACCTAAGTGTCTTTCTATTACTTGCTATATAATGTGTATCAGTTCTTTTCTATCACACCTATTTATGTGATATATTTGTCTCTCCTTCTTACTCTTCTATTTTCCCTCTTGTCTTGCTTTTTTTTTTTTTTTGAAGTTTTCTTTCCATTTTCTACTTTTGCAGCTGACCTGTTCACCCAAAGATTTTTAATGCCAGTAATTGAGTAAATCTTTGAGGTTTTTAAGACTGTTAGCCACTTAGGGTTCTCAGAGTATGTTCTCTTGACCACAAAGGATCAATATCACCTGGAAACTTTAGAACTACTAGGCCCATCCTAGACCTCTTGAATCGAGAAAGTTGTCTGGAGGTGGGGTCCAGCAATCTGTTTTACAGGTCCCTCAGGTGATTCTGATGTTCACGTGATTCTGAAACCCTCGGGTGTTTGCTGTAAAGTTGTTACAGGAAACAGAGAAAAAGGAATAAGGAGTTAACTATTTATTTAGTTTTGAAAGGCCTGACTTCTAACTGCTAAATCAAGAGCAGAACCAGTCCTGACCTTTTACACAGATTAACACATACCTGTGAAGCTTCATGAAAGTTTGTTCTGCCATCTCTTATCCTTTGTATCCTTTCTGTCTGTGTCTTATAGGCTGTACTTAATGTCATTTCTCTTTATTTCTGTATCCATGCATGCTAAAATATGTTTGCAATGATTAAGAAGCTTCTTGAAGAAAATGTGGCATCTAAAAATATTTGCTTTTAGAAATACTACTTTGTTTTCTGTATAAAAGTTTGAATTTTATTAAACATTATTTGAGCAGGCTGCTGGAAGATTTTGAAAAGGAACAATAAAAGCCATTTATTTAGAATCTCACTGTAATTTGGAAGGAATATTAAGTGAATTCAGCTGTGAGTGTACTTGCAGTTTTTTTTGTGTTCTGAATGAAGACTTAAAAGATTTCCTTCATACTTATTTATACTATGCCAGTATTGAAACTGATTGAGTGATTGAGTAGAAGTATTCCCCGACCCGATAGATAAACCATTTTTGCAAATTTGTACAAAAGAGCAAAAAGAACACTGCCTGAGATGCTGCCGCACTAACAAGAAGCAGGAGCTCCCGCCGCACCGAGGCACAGATGGGGCGCTGAAAGTGGACTCGCGGTGCGCAGGAATGGCGGGCCTGAGCTGTGACGCAGATACTTTCCTCTGTGAAGGGTAGTTGTTGTAATGAAATAATTTTTGTATTTTAAGAAATGCACATATTTTACCATATTGAAAATTATCAGCAGCATGTAACTCGGGCGTCCTTTTAAATTTCTGAACAGGATCTATTAAGACATGAACAAAACCAACTCAAGCTTATTAACATTAGTGACAAACTTTTAAAGAGAGGCACAAGTCAGAGTGTGACTCAAATGATTCTGAGTAAAATTGACTGGTCTTGCCAAGGTCATACTAGCACTGAATTTTATGTTGTTATTTTGACAGATCCAGGTTGACGAAGTCAGAAAGCTGGTATATTTTGAAGGCACCAAAGACTCTCCTTTAGAACATCACCTGTATGTGGTCAGTTATGTAAATCCTGGAGAGGTGACGAGGCTGACTGACCGTGGTTATTCACATTCTTGCTGCATCAGCCGGGTATTAAGTCCCTGTTTGAAAAGGGTTTCCTGTCATATAAAAACCTCTGTTCTTGTAATACTCCTTTTTAGTAACGTGAAAAGTGAAACAACCTATAAAAACCTTAGCCTTAACTTTAGCATTGTATATTCACATAATTGGTCAGACTATTACCGTACGCCTGCTATAGCATCAATGCAGATTTAGCAACAGATAACCTTTTTTACTTTTCCCTGGGGGAAAAAATAATTGTTTTTCCTTTCTCTAGCATTGTGACTTCTTTATAAGTAAGTATAGTAACCAGAAGAATCCACACTGTGTGTCCCTTTACAAGCTGGCAAGTCCTGACGGTGACCCAACCTGCAAAACAAAAGAATTCTGGGCCACTATCTTGGATTCAGCAGGTACTCATTTTCCTGAACCCGATCTTAAGTAAGATTAGTACGTTAGTGCTCTACTCCTGTGTCGTAGGTCCACTTTTCCTGAACAGAGTCTTCCACCTCTCACCACTGCCTGTCCTTCGGCTGCCGATCGGTCCCATCCCTCCTAGTCTATCAATTATCAAATAAGGCTGGCTACCTCCTACTCCAGACAGGAGCAAACTGGAAGGCCTTTTTGAAAATAAGATTAAAATAATCAAGATAACTGCTAGGAAGTGATTTATTCACATGTTTGGATGATTTCCCAGGTAAACAACTGAACGTCACACAGACTGAACTAGTAATACTCTTAAGCAGGGAAGCTGCAGCTTTAAGGAATACCCAGCTGGTAGCTTTCTTAAACTTCTACCAGCACTTGCAATGGCCATCTTAATAAAAGATAAATCCTCATTTTATATGGCAGTGAAGAGCACTGTGATTACCTGAATTTAAAATGCTTGATTTCTTAAACAGTGGACTAATATTTTATATCTTCTAACTCATTTTATACCCAAATCCTTTTTTCTGTTAGATATTTTCACCCATAAATATCTCCTAAAGGGTTAAGAAATTAGTGCAAACCCACAAGGTATGGGTATGTTCTGATGTCCACAATTAGAATTGCTAATACGCTGATCTCTGCTTCGACTGGAACATCATCCAGTATACATAGACTCAGGAGAGGTCTGTGTGGCTTTCTAAAACCAAACACTGATCATGATTTTTTTTTTTTCTGGGTTCTGATTAGGCTTATTCTCTAATGATCATAAAGAAATGTTTTTTGAGCACCTGCTTTGAGCAAGTTAATTCGTGCTTTCAGTTTCTCATCAGGTATATGGCTTAACCATCGATAAGTTATACAAGCTGAGTGCAAAGTATTTGTGTTCTGCATGTAAATACCTCCTGGGCTCCAAGGATTATTGATAATACTTTGTGTCTGCTTCTGAAATAGATAATTTGATATGTTCATTAGATTTCCTTTCTTAAATATAACTATTTGTGTTTAATTTCTTGCTTATCATCTAAAGAAGGGATAGTTATTAGGGTAGTGGGTTTATGGTATTTTTTCCTTGCTCTCAGATTGCCAAGCTCCCATAAGAACTTTACAGAATATATTACCTCCTCCCAGGTCCTCTTCCTGACTATACCCCTCCAGAAATTTTTTCTTTTGAAAGCACTACTGGATTTACATTGTATGGGATGCTGTACAAACCTCATGATCTACAACCTGGAAAGAAATACCCCACTGTGCTGTTTATATATGGTGGTCCTCAGGTAGGCATATTTATGTACATATGTGTATGTGTTTTTATTTTCTTTTTTTTAGATAATTTTTTATTTAAATGTCTGATCAGTTGTTTAAGATTTGAGCATTGCTGAGCCTCTGCTATTACTGACTGTGGCTTATGCCCTCATTACCCAGTTTAGGAGTTTAGGAAGCTGGGTTTTGTTAGGTAGCAAATTTGAAAATCAGTGTTACTTTCTTTTTTGGGGCCATGCTGCTTTGCTTGTGGGATCTTAGTTCCCCAACCAGGGATTGAACCAGGGCCCTTGGCAGTGAAAGTGCGGAGTCTTAACCACTGGCTGCTGCTAAGTCGCTTCAGTCGTGTCCGACTCTGTGCGATACCATAGACGGCAGCCCACCAGGCTCCCCTGTCCCTGGGATTCTCCAGGCAAGAACACTGGAGTGGGTTGCCATTTCCTTCTCCAGTGCGTGAAAGTGAAGTTGCTCAGTTGTGTCCGACTCTTAGCAACCCCATGGACTGCAGCCTACCAGGCTCCTCCGTCCATGGGATTTTCCAGGCAAGAGTGCTGGAGTGGGGTGCCACTGCCTTCTCAGAATGCCCGGGAATTCCCTCAATGTCAATTTCTTAATTCACGCTGAGGACTATAACTGTCATGGGGAATGTGATGGTCATGTCGGTTAGTAAATATGTTGTATTCTAGGTAGAGAACTTGTTTGGAAAATGGTATTAAATAATTAAATGTCTTGGTTATAAAAGAGTCTTAACAGATATTTTTGAAACCTTTGGTATCCTAATGAATTCCCTCTCTTCATTCTAAGGCCAGATCTCTCAAGCAAGCTATATTACTTTTATCAGTTAGTTAAGGCAACTGCTGGAGAAGGAGATGGCACCCCACTCCAGTACTCTTGCGTGGAGAATCCCAGGGACAGAGGAGCCTGGTGGGCTGCCGTCTGTGGGGTTGCACAGAGTCAGACACGACTGAAGTGACTTAGCGGCAGCAGCTAGGCAGCTGCTAAATGGCACGAGTCCACATGTCACACAGCTTTTACATAAGCGAGAATTTAAACCCGGGGCTTCCCAGGTGGCAGTAGTGGTAAAGCATCGGCCTGCCAATGCAGGAGACCCAAGACATGCAGTTTGACCCCTGGGTTGGAGAGGTCTCCTTGAAGAGGACATGGCAACCCACTCTAGTACTCTTGCCTGGAGAACCCCATGGGCAGAGGAACCTGGTGGGCTACAGTCCATGGGGTCGCAAAGAGTCAGACATGACTGAGCAGCTTAATACCCCACATACTATTCTTCAGCACTGCAAGTTTACACCTTGATTTTCTTTTTTCATATTAGCATGTGAATATTAAGGAAATTTTACTATCAGAGTAAAGTGTTTTGGGTAGGTTAGTTGGTTAACTGGTAATTTGTTTTTAAAGTTTAATCTTGGTTATATATCTCACATTGAGTCCCTAAAGAAGTTAGAAGTACACTATTTTTTCCTAATATAACTCTCTCTCTTTTTTAAGGTTAATTTATTTTTGATGGTGCTGGGTCTCTGTTGCTGCACTCAGGCCTTCTGTAGGTCTGGCCAGCAGGGGCTCCTCTTTGTTGCGGTTGCGCAGGCTTCTCGCTGTGACGGCTCCTCTCGCCACAGAGCACAGGTCTGGGTGCGCGGGCTTCCCAGCTTCAGGAATCGCGGCTCCTGGGCTCTGGAGCACAGGCTTAGGAGTTGTGGCACATGGACTTGCACCATGGCATGTGGGATCTTCCCAGACCAGGGATTGAACCTGTGACTCCTGCATTGGCAGATGGATTCTTATCTACTGTAGCATCAGGGAGGTCCAATTACAACTCTAGAATTCAGTAAATACCATATTTCATAGTTACATCCCGTTATTCAGATCTGAAAGTGTATCTAGGTGTCAAGTTATCCAAAACATAAAAGGTAGCTACATAAGCCATAACATCTCAGCAATGATGATCATATATCAACTTAAATCACTTTGCCGTTGTTTAATGTGTTTTACAAACAAAACGTGATTTGCATTTACACAGTAGTTATCTACACATAAATTATGAAAGAGTTAAATGAAACTTCTCTTAAAAACTTGGAAGCCAGATCTTTGTGAACTTAAAAAAAGGTATAATATAAAGAAATTCAAGAGAGAAATTAAAGGACATTCTTAAAATCTTTACATGTTCTATTATTTAAGAAGGATGTTTCTTCTTCCCAATGAAGAAATGATATATGAGATATGTGAAAAACATAAAAACTAGCTGGTTATCTAGATTTTTAAGGACTTTAGGATTTTAAAGGACTCCTTATATTAGTGAAGTGAAGTGAAGTTGCTCAGTCGTATCTGACTCTGTGACCCCATGGACTGTAGCCTGCCAAGCTCCTCAGTCCATGGGATTTTCCAGGCAAGAGTTCTGGAGTGGGTTGCCATTTCCTTCTCCAGGGGATCTTCCCGACCCAGGGATTGAACCTGGGTCTCCCACATTGTAGGCAGACACTTTACCATCTGAGCTACCAGGGAATCCCCCCTTATATTAGTAATTAAGTTTAAAAAGTCTAAGCCATATGAAAAGATAGTGTCACTAATCATTAGGGAAATGCAAATCAAAACCACAATGAGATAGCACTTCATACCCTTTAGAATAGCTCTTTTTTTTAATAAAAAGGAAAATAATAAATGTTGGTGAGGGTGTAGAAAAATTGGAACTCTACTTTGCTGATGGGAATGTAAAATGATGCAGCTGCTGTGAAAAACAATATAGCAGTACTTCAAAAATTTATACATAGAATTACAATCTGATCCAGCAGTTCCATCAGGCTACATACCCAGAAGAATTGAAAGCAGAGACTCAGATACTTGTTTGAGTTACAAGTATGCAGTGTCAATTGCAACATCATTCACAATAGCCAAAAGATGGAAGCAACCCCAGGGTCCATTGATAGACAAATGGGTAAACAAAATGTGATATATAAAGAAATATTATGCAGCCTTAAAAAAGGTTGAAATTCTGACTTATGCTACATGGGTGAACCTTGAGGACATTATGCTAAGTGAAATAAGCCAGGCACAAAAGGATAAATATTGTATTATTCCACTGGTGTGAGATACCCAGAAGAAGCAAATTCATAGAGATAGAAAGTAGAAAAGAACTTGTCAGGGACTGGGGGAGGGATAGGGAATTATTGTTTAAAGATTTGAAGTTTCTGTTTGACATGATGAAAAGGCTCTGGAAAGCAGTAGTGGTGGTGGTTGTACAACAGTGTGAATATACTTAATACCACTAAAATAGAGCTGTTTGTTTCTCAACGCGTTTTTTGGATGCATTCAAATTTGGTGAGCCCACAGGAAAATCTGGTATTCAGTCTGCAGGGAGATTTCACTCTAAGACTTTGAGTAACAGAATCCGTTGGCACTTCAACCCACTGGGAGATCATTCATCCTTGTGTTTGATAATAATTTTGATTAGTTATGAGAGACTCCTTAATGTAAGAGCAGATCTTTCTACTAGCACACAGTAACCTTGCAAAATTTGATTAAATCCTAGAAGTGATCCAAGTCTTTTTTTTTTTCTTCCTTTGGTAGGTATTCAGATCAAAGTGGGAGTCTTTTTAAATAGGAACATTGTCTCAATTCATAATGTGAAAGGAATTACTTCCTGATTAAATTTGCAATGCCTGCAGTAGGATATAAGTGAAACCAAGGAAAGCAACAAATAATTCTATTTGAAGTTAAGGCTTATTGCTTTAAACTTTTTATTGATAACAGTAGTGTTGTTTAAAAATGTTTATTTAACAAATACTTATGATACTTCCTATGTGTGGGACACTGTTCTGCAAACATAAATGCATAAGAGAGGTTAAAATAGCAGAATACAGGTTTTAAAGAATTGATACTGAAGAAAACTTTTGAATTCTTGGTGCTAAAGGGCATTGGGTTTAAGTACCTTCTTCTAAGAAGAAGCAGGCCTTGAGGCTGCAAAGGCAGAAATACTGGCTCTGGGGGAAAATGTTCTTATCAGGCAACTGAGGCCATCTTCGGTGATTTACAGCAGGCAAAGAAGTGAGTTAATTTTCTTACATGTTCGCATTTGTGTTCTTCTAGGCTTACTACTTCTTTTTGCAGCTCCCTTCCTTTAAAAATAAGCACCTTTGCCCACCAAACACCTCTTCCCAAGGTAGAAAGGAAAACCATCATTCTCTATTTTTCATTCATTTATTCAGCAAATAGTCACTGAGCACCTCTTATGTACCAAGAAGTATCCTAGGCAATGAGGATAACCACAATGAACAAGTCAGACTAATGTCCCACCCTCATGAAGATTAATGAGGAAAATAAGATAAATTATGTAACTTCATATAATGGAAGTGTTATGAATAATTGTTGAGAAGGAAGATAAAGTGACTAAAATGAGGGTTCTGATGGGAAGGTCAAGGAAGCTCTCGGGGTTGCAGAGGATGAGAAGGGATGAGCCATGTTAAAATTGCTGAGGGAAGAGCATTCCAGACTGACGGAAGAGTAAGTCTCAAGGTCCTGGGGTTAGAACCAACTCGATATAGTTGGTAGCAAGACTAGAATACAGTGCTCAAGGGGGAGAAATGAGGTGAGAGAAAATAGCCAAGGGCTAAGTAATGTAGGGTCTCGAAGGCAGTGGTAAGGAGTTTAGATCTTACTCTGATCTAAATGCCCTGCCATTAGAAGGAGCCAGATATAAAGTCATACCTGATTTGCATTTTTAAAACATTGTTCTGTTACTGTGAGAATAGACTGTATGGAGGACAAGTATAGAAACAAAGACCTGTTTGGCAGTTGTTACAGTGGTAACTAAACATCCAGAAGTTCAAAAGGAAGATTTTTGTACATGCCCACCTCCAGTCTAGCCCAGTAAATGATCAGTAGATGTTTATTGAGTGAAGAAAGCATCAGTTCTTATTTTAATTCCTGACTAACTTGGTTTTCCCAATTGTTTCCACCAGAGAATGCTTTCTCAGTTTTGCCAGAATCCATTTTTTGTTTATTGTCTGTCTTTGTTGTTGCGGTTCAGTCCCCCAGTTGGGTCTTACTCTTTGCGACCCCGTGGATTACAGCATGCCAGGCCTCCCTGTCCCTCACCATCTCCTGGAGTTTGCCCACGTTCATGTTCATTGTATCAGTGATGCCTTCCAGTCGTCTCTTCCTCTGTCGCCCTCTTCTCCTTCTGCCCTCAATCTTTCCCAGCATCAGGGACTTTTCCAGTGAGTCATCTGTTCTCATCAGATGGCCAGAATACTGAAGCTTCAGCTTCAGCTTCAGTCCTTCCACTGAATATTCAGGGTTGATCTTCCTTAAGATTGACTGGTTTGTCCCAGGTTCTGGCACCAAGAAACGAAGCAAAACAAAAGATTGGTTTGATCTCTTGCTGTCCAAGGGTCTTCTCCAGCACCACAGTTGAAGGCATCAGTTCTTTGGCATTCTACCTTCTTTATGGTCCAGCTCTCACAATCGTACGTGACCCCTGGGAAGACCATAGCCTTGACTATATGGACCTTTGTTGACAGAGTAATGTCCCTGCTTTTCAACACGCTGTCTAGGTTTGTCATAGCTTTCCTACCAAGAAGCAACTGTCTTACGGTTTCATGGCTGCGGTCACCGTCTGCAGTGATTTTGGAGCCCAAGAAGAGGAAATCTTGTCACTACTTCCACCTTTTCCCCTTCCTATTTACCATGCAGTAATGGGTCTGGATGCCATTATCTTAGTTTTTTAAATATTTAATCTTAAGCCAGCTCCTATACTCTCCTCCTTCACCCTCATCAAGAGGCTCTTTAGTTCCTCTTTGCTCTTAGTGTCCACCAAAACCTTGAACTTCTGTAGTTTTTTGCCCATTAGTTAAAGTCTTCTTTTCACTGGAGAATTTACTTCTGTTGAAGCACTAAACTGCATTTAATTTCTCAGTCATTTTGAAGTATAGTTTCTAGGGTGCTAAAGTTTTTTAAGAATTATCTTACCTTTTGCACTGATCTGTGTAACAGGGAAAAGTAAGCTGACTGGTCACAGTATTTTATTAAAGTACTTAAGTTTTCCCTCTACTGGTCAGAGACAATCCCAGAAGATATAAGTAGGGAGAAAAAAAAAATGATCCTGTTCCGTCATTTGAAGGGTGCATTTCTTTCTCAAGGTAGAAGTAATCATTTTAGTAACTTTTTTTATGGAATAGACTAAATCATTTATCTTATAGTAGTTAATATCTAGATTATAATTTTGAAGTCTGTAGTTGTTCACTAATCCTCTCTGAACTTTGCATGTGAAGTTAAGAAAGAAAAGAAATAACATAAACATGAAAAGATTTAAGTTAATTTAAAAATATATCAGGGAAGGGGAAAGAGGGAGTTACTAAACAGTGACCATTAAAAAAATCTGCATTATGGAAGATGAATAAGTTCTAGAGATCTGCTGTGCAAAATTGTCCTATGGTTAACAAAACATTATTGTACACTTAAATTTTTAAGAGGGTCCATTTTATGTGTTCTTGCCACAAGAAAATAATTCATTTTATAGGCAAAATAATATTAAAAATGTAAGCTTTCTGTTTTTTGCAGCATCCTGCCTCTCTAATTTGCTTTTGTGTGCTACCATAGAATACATTTCACTGAAGTTGTCCTTCTTCCTCAGGTGCAGTTGGTGAATAATCGGTTTAAAGGAGTGAAGTACTTCCGACTGAACACCCTGGCCTCTCTGGGCTATGTGGTTGTGGTGATAGACAACAGGGGGTCCTGTCACCGAGGGCTTAAATTTGAAGGCGCCTTTAAGTATAAAATGGTGTGTGAGCGTACCAGCGTTTCTCTTTTAAAGACGTTTGCATTTTTTGGTGCTTTGTTTGGTGTGAGACCCCAGAGACGGAAACGGGGGACGGGGCTGTGTGTTGGCGTGCACGTGCACACGTGCGAGCCTGTGTTTGCGGGGGGAGGGAAGGAGCCCCCCGATGCTCACTGGGCTATTCCAGCCTACCCGTGTGTAGCTTTGTGGAGCTGAGATAGAGCCACTTTTACATAGAAACCACCGCTCTTTCTGTTTTTTATGTCCAGTTTAGCCAGAAGGCATCACGTGTAGTTTTCAGCATCCTGTACACTGTTAAGAGGAATAACTGAGATTTGTTCTGTCCTCTGTGAAGAGAGAAACCAACTGGTTAGTGCCTTCCTTGTGACAAGCCTCTTTCTCTCTACAGGAGGCTTTAATGCTACCTTTTAGAGATGCCCTATGTCCTTTCTGCTGCTTTGGGAAATGATGAGAATCCGATGTTCCTTTTGCACAGTAAGGCAGTTACTGTGTTTGCCAGTGTATTGGACATGCTGAGTAAGACATGGGGATTTTCTCCCACAGCCAGTTCTTTGACCTTATGTTGTATTCTCATGTAAGTTTTTGTTTTTATTTTTGTTTTTGGCTCAGTAAAGTGAGATTGTGTGCACTGGCAGGCCTAGTAATACAGATAGGGTGGTGGTGATAGGAATTAGGACTATATAGGACTTTAAAGAGATTGTATGTTCAATTCCTAGAGGTAGATAGTGGGGAAGGAGGAGGACAAGACCTTAAGAGTGATTCCTTCCACTTTATTGCAGTTTAAAGAGAAGTAAAATTAGTCATCCACTTAAGGGGGCTAATTTTTCATCTTTGGGTATAGGAAGGCTTGTTACAAGGAAGATGCTGACCTCTTAGCAGACAACAGAACAAATGGAAATGGGAAATACCCATACGACAAAGGACATTTTGGGTTGCAGTAGGAAAGAACTTTGTGACTAAGGGGTAACTAAACTCTAGGACAGGCTAGCAACAGAAGCTATAGACTCCTATCTCTAAATAGAGTTAAAAATTTTTTTTCCAAGCCACAGAATCTCAATCAATAATAAGTTCTTTTCTAAAAAATAAAAAACCACAGGTGTTTTTAGTAAGAACTTCTGCCAGCTTTCAAAAATAATGAGATTTTTATTTATCAGAATCAGTGAAATGGTCTCCCTTTTTTGACAGGGTCAAATAGAAATTGACGATCAAGTGGAAGGACTCCAGTATCTAGCCTCTCAATATGATTTCATTGACTTAGATCGTGTGGGCATCCATGGCTGGTCCTATGGAGGATACCTGTCCCTAATGGCGTTAATGCAGAGGTCAGATATCTTCAGGGTATGTGATTTCCTATGGTATTTCTTTTGCAATAAGGGTAGAATTTTCTATAAATTGAGATACAAGAAAAGAACCAAATTTCTGAAGTTGACAGTATTATGAAATGTTAGGGTTTGTGTGTTTAACAGCCATGAGAAATAATAGACTTATCTTGTCAACTTGCGGGATATATATTTATATTTCTTTATCTGTATATATCTGTATAAAATACTTGTCAGCTTGATCAGTTATTAGCTATTAACAGACATATGCCAAATATTATGGGAGATAGTCATGATTAGTAAAACCCACATTCGTATTGGGTTGTTCTTATTTGTTTAATTATTGGGCTACAACCTCTGGGGGCAGGGATCTATCTGCCCTATACTGTATCCTCAGCAGCCAAGCACAATGCTTGGCGCATAGTAGGTCCTAAGTAAATCTGTACCAAATTAATAAACTACTAAATATATAAGCAGTGATTACAACTTTATAAACAACCTCTTAGAAAAATATGTTAGAAAAAAGATGCTAAAAACTGTTAAGAAAATGGAAATAATGAGTAGCATTTTTCTTATTTCATTAACATGATTTTTACAGTGGAAATTGTTTATTTTTAGAAATAAAAGTGATAGGGTTTTTGTATATTCAGATAATCTTTGTTTATAATAACCACAAAACGAACTCTGAATACTGCCATAATTTTCCCAGGCTTGCAGTTGTCAAGAAAGTAATTACAATATTTAAATATAAAGCTGTGTGGGAGCCTTAAAATGAGACAAGTGTTTAGTACGTAAATATATTTCATTCATTGTTTTAAATTCTGTACTGCCAACAGAAGCTTAAAAAACAAAAAAGAAGAAAATGACTGCTCTTCCTATGTAAAGCTGACACTTGTCCCATATTTTTTTCCTCAGCTTACACTGAGGCATTCACATGTTCTAGTTCACCTCCTCTTCTAATGGAGACTCATGTTTATGTTTCATCCAGCCCAGGTTAAGGATTTAGTGTGTGGCACCTCTGGAACATGAAGCTAGCTGACTCATTAAGTATCAAGTTCTTGACCTTGGCATTCCCCTTTGATTTTCTGAGTTGCCTGAGACCATAATTGTGAGGCTAAAGCCTAAAGATAATTTTAGCCTATAAATTTGCAGTTACAGACTCTCAGTGTTAACCATTCTTTTCTGAACCACACTTGACTGTCACTGTTATCTTATGTAGGTTGCTATTGCTGGGGCCCCAGTCACTCTGTGGATCTTCTATGATACAGGCTACACGGAACGTTATATGGGTCACCCTGACCAGAATGAACAGGGCTATTACTTAGGATCTGTGGCCATGCAGGCAGAAAAATTCCCCTCTGAGTAAGTTCAAGCTTTAAAATTAAAATTATAAATTTAAAATTGTATTTTTTAAGATTGTCTTTAATAATAAGGAAAGCTACAAATATGACAAAAATAAAACTAATATTTTATGGATTACTAGAAGGCATGGCTGTTTTCTTAAAGCTGAATTATAGGCCAGTTCATATAATTTGGGTTTTTTAGCAAGTTATATTTGAAGCAATTGCTGATGTGTTAAAAGAAGCTTATTAATTATGTATACCACTGTTTCCCTGGAGAAGCGCATGGCAACCCACTCCAATATCCTTGCCTAGAGGATGTCCATGGACAGAGGAGCCTGGCGGGCTACAGTCCATGGGGTCGCAAAGAGTCAGACACGACTGAGCGACTAAGCGCAGCACAGCACCGCTGTTTCCCAGTGGAGAAAATCCCACTGCTGCTTAACATATATTTTACAAAGACCACATGTGATTGTTCTTTTTCTAGGGACATGCTGTAATTATTGATGTATGCTAATATCTTAATAGGAAATTGAACACGTGATTTACTTTTTTTCATTACATGTAGCATCTGGTTAATATATTACTAATTTAATATTGAAGTGTTGAATCCTTATTCTAACATTACAGTATAAGGAAGTTATTGTAGTAGGTTATGGTTAGTTTTAACAAGTTTAGTAGTTTTCCCAAATACTGTTTTACCTCATCCTCTGATATTTCCATTTCTCCAGACCAAATCGTTTACTACTCTTACATGGGTTCTTGGATGAGAATGTTCATTTTGCACACACCAGTATATTACTGAGTTTTTTAGTGAGGGCTGGAAAGCCATATGATTTACAGGTGAGTTCTTTTAATTTTCTGATTAAAATAGTCATCATTCATGATTGGTTACTTTGGAATATAATAAACGATGGAGTGAAGTTGAATTTTCAGCTGTGGCCACTCTCTGCTTAAGAGAACTGAAATAATAGGCATAGTTAGCAGTGCCTCTAGTTGGATAAAAGTTAAGATTCTGTTGAAGTCAGGATGAAAATTGGCCTGTCCGATTACATGACTTGTGTATCTGTATCTGCTTTCAGTTTGTAATCGTGGACAAGATGACAGGAGTCCATTCACTATCCTCCTTTGCTTTTCTTCTTCCCCTTGGAAGGGTGAGGAAATGCTACTTGATTTCATTGTTGTAAAGGATTTTTAGGACCTGAATATATGGTCTTTTAATTTTCTTCTATTTTATATTGACACTGGGGCAGAAACCAAAAGTTACCCACCTCCATTGCTCCATTATTTTAAAAAAAAAAAATCTTTTAAGAGAAACTGTTCTTCCTTTTCTTCCTTGTTTCTACTCCTTGCATGAATTATATGCCCATAAGAAATGAAAAATATTACTTTCCTTCTTTTATGTTTCAGTTGGCATTTATGTAGGTAAACTATGAGATATGTAGCTATAACATCAGTTTTCAAGGGTCTCAGGACCCTTTTGTATACCAAAAAGTTTTTGTTTACACGAGTTATGTCTATGAGTATTGCTGTTATATTGACTAAGAAAATCTTAAAATATTTATTTAGTTAACAGTGATAAACTATTATTACATGTTAGCACAGATCACATTTTTTTTTATGGGCGAAAAACAATTTAAAGTTTACTGAGAAAGTATTGTTTTACATATTTGTAAATCCCTTTAATATCTGGCTTAATAAGAAATACACCTCAGTGCTCATATCTACTTCCATGTATAGTCTGTTGTGAAATGTTGTTTTGGCTAAAGTAGATGAAGAAATTTCGGCCTCACAAAATACCTAGCTAAGAAATGGGAGTAATATTTTAGCTTTTTCAGATCATATTGGCTATTCTTTGTTGCTACACTAAAACTGGACAGATGGTAGTTCCTTGAAGGTTAGTTATAGTGCGGAATCTGAAGCCATATCTGTAAACTTTTCATGCTCTCTTATAGTCTGTTGGATGGATCTTGTACTTCAGATGCATCTTTTATCCATGCATTGGTCATCTGGAAAACACTGGTTCACTTCTAAGTGTTGACTCATTTCATCATACAATATTTTTAAAATCACATACATTAATACTACCACTGATCCCAACAGTAAAGTCTTCCAGGTATTGGGAAACTCATGAAATAGTAGTGGTAGATGCAAGTTTTCCAAAATTCTAATTTTCACTTAAAATCTTGAAATTTATCACTAGCAACAAATACTGTCAATGTTGACTTTGAAGTAGCCAGCTCACATTATTTTTGAGAAAATGTTTGCCAAGTAGTCAAGTCTGAATCACCATAGATGTCTTTTTTTCAAGTGAGAAAACAGAGTTCCGTTTATAAGCTCAGTTTTAGAAACCCTGGCAATCCAGTGGTTAAGACGCCACGCTTCCAGTGCAGGGGGCGTGGGTTCGATCCCCGGTTGGGGACTTAAGAGCTTGCATGCCTCAAGGCACAGATAAAAGAAAGAAAACTCAGTTGTACAAATCTTTTCCTTCAGACATCCTGTAGCAGAAGTGCATTATGCATTCTGCCCATTTTATCACCCCAGAATATAAAAAGACCTCTGCTCAAGGGTTGCAATTTAATAAAATTCTAAATTTTACTTCTACTTAAATGAAACTGGCATTTTCCCTTATTTACTAAAGTGTATGTCACTGATTTGATTCATGCTAAGGCACCAGCAGTTTGTACACCGTTGCCTTTCATTATCAGTGCAGATGCCAACACAGTGGATAAAGGCTTATTCTTTAATGTCTTAGTTTTGTTCTGAAAGTAGTTTTGACCCTGTGTATCCCTTGAAAGGGTTTCTGAAGACTCCAGGAGTCTGCAAACCACACTTGGAGAACCATTGACCCCTTCTGTAAGCTTAGTGGTACACAGGGAATTACACAAAGAAGAGGGGCTTCCCCAGCGGTTCAGTTGGTGGCTGAGATGCCCACTTCCAGTGCAGGGGGCGTGGGTTCCTACCTTGGACAGGAACTAAGAGCCTGTGCATCGTGGGGTGTGGCCAAAAAAGTTTTTTTTAATAATATTAAAAAAATTAAAGGAGAGGGCCCTTTACATTGGAGGTGTGTATGCAGTATCTTGGAGAAGCTCTACTCCATGTTATTAATCCTGTTGAAAATCTCTGGAAAGCTTTGGAAGGAGATACTAAGTTCTTATTTTTTGTATTTTGATTTTGTTGTTGTTTTTTAAGATCTATCCTCAGGAGAGACACAGCATAAGAGTTCCTGAATCTGGAGAACATTATGAACTGCATCTTTTGCACTACCTTCAAGAAAACCTTGGATCACGTATTGCTGCTCTGAAAGTGATATAATTTTGACCTGTGTAGAACTCTGGTATACACTGGCTGTTTAACCAAATGAGGAAGTTTAAATTTAATCAATAGAGAATTGATCATCACATTTTGGTACTTGCCACATAACATCTACTTCTGAAAGTATATCTGGTGCCATGCAGGTGTTTACAGCTTGTGGATAGTAATCTAATACCTTAACCATACACACACAAAATTAAATGACACATATTTCTAAGGGACCCAGCAATACCTTGAGAATCACTGAAAGAAATAAGACATTAGCACCATGTATTCATGCTACCTTATTTTCATTTTTAATAACATTATGAAACCTCATGGACTTAGTGTATTTTTACAGTATACTTCTGAGTTTGTTAAAATATGATATTAGTGATTGGCTTGGTTCAATTCCAGAATCTCTGACTAGTTACAGATTTGATAGCACTTAAATGTAATTGAATAGCTTCTGCTTCATTGCTTGGGGTGTATCCAGCATGTTATAAACTAATCACTATTAAACCTATGACTTAACCAATCATTAATGATTGTTCAAGGTTAAGTTAGTGGCCTCCTAAAGACACTTACTTTGTTTCATTCAAACTCTGACCAGTTTTTAGCCAATTTAAATTGTATCTAGTATAAATGGTTCTCTTTGATGATATGACCAGGTGGGTTTTTCTTTTCACATAAAGGCAAGTAACTGTATATGTAGCATGATTATAATATTGATAATTACAGGCAGGAAAATTTTAACCAGATAATTAGAGCTTAAATATTTGCAGGCAGTTCCTTTTCCTTTGGGAAAAGAAAAAAATACACATTCACTCGTATTCTTCAGAAAATTTAGTGGTGCCATTTTCCATTGGGTATTTCCACGTTGAAATGTTCCAGAGTTTTAGGGCAGTGGAAGGGAATTTTGGTGGAGTCGGGGAGACCAGGGTGTGGAGAATGGCAAGGGACTGCTTAAGAACTAAGCAGAAGTATAATCTGACCAAAAATACTCATGAAGAACTTTAAGAATTGAAATTTAAACTCCTAGAATATTAGCTAAGGAAACCAGAATTAAGAGATCACTCTCTTGCCAACAGTTACAGACTAACATTATTCAGGGGAAGAAAAGCTGCTTACAGTTACTTTTACATTTCTAATTCTCACTTTTTGTTATTTTCTTCTTAATTTTGGAAGCCTTACAAATTGAAACTTTCTCTAACCTTTATAAATTATTTGAGCATCCTTTAAATATTGTGATCTTAAAATACAGAGGTTTCCAGACAACCTCTTTACTATAAACTGATCCCCAGCCAGCCATGACTCTCTTTTTCAGTGTTCAAAGCTTATAAGCGATTTCTTGAATGGTCATGACATGTTCCTGATTTAGCCCTAGCGCTTGACTATTAAGGGAGCTCATAGTGCTGATTGGTGCTGATTGGGATCTGTCATCTTAGAATCATAGGGTGCTAGCTGGGTCATATCGGAGCTAGTGTCAGAGAAGGCACCCAAGAGTTTGACCCTTTTTAGCACAAGCCTCAATGTTTGGAAAGTTGCTATCAGTACTTCTAAACAGTGTTCCGAAAGAAAAAAATTGTACTCTCTCTCACCATTACAGAATGAATAGATTCCTATCCTAGAGAGCACAGCCTCCATTAGTAAGGATAGCTGTGCTTGAGATGTGGACTTCATCTTTGAGGGCCACATGGGAGGTGGGAGAGGTCCAGAGATGGCAGGGTGACCTGGTGGTTCTGTCCGTGGAGGGGGATTGGGTTTTGCTGTTTTTGTATTTATACTGTATTATAGATACCACACTTTTCCCTATGACTGTATATGTATTGATTTTCTTGTTTATGATATTTTCCCATGCTGAGATATGTTTATATTCTTTTCAATGTTAAATTAAATTGATTTGGGTAATATTCTTCCCCAAAAAAGTATTTTCCCCCATGACTAAAGTTTGTATCTGATTACTGAAGACAATTTTTGTTTGTGGACCTAGTTGGCCTCCGAGGATATATCCTTATATAATATGCAAAGTAGAAATGGCCTACAGTAGCTCTTAGACAGCTGTTCATTTGAAACCGCTTACCCAGTATGGCTGTGTTTTCAAAATGACATCTCGTATTTTACCAAAACAAACCTTAAGGAACCTCATGGACTCTCAGATTCACAGGTATTTTCCTTTTGCATCTTGCCATCTGCTTTCCTCCCATCACAAGGAATGTTTCTGTTATCATTCCCTGTCAGTCACTTAAAGGCCATTCTCCTTCTATAGAGGGGGGAAATACCTGACTGAATTTGCATGCAAAAAGACAACTTGAATGAATTTGATTTTTAAAATCAATGTGAAAAACATAGTCAATTCAGGCAATCTGTAGAAACCTCACTAAAACTATTTGTACCCCGTGTACGGGCAGCAAACTAAAAGGCAAGAGTGTAGCAGCAATTTTAGTGAGAACCAAAAAGTACTAGGTTAAACACCAAGGGGGAGTGTTGCAGGTTTGATCATTGAATGCACTTGAACAACCATCAGGTAGGTATGGTTGCTTGTGTGTTGAGCAGTGAGACTCTTGAACCTCACTCTTAGAAATTTGGGTTTGGTTGATTAAGTGGAGACCAGGAATCTGCATTCCTAGCAAGCGTTCCAGGTGACTCTAAAGCAAGTCATTTGTGGGGCTATTTTAAGAAGTAGGACTGAGTTGGATTAAGAAAATAATAGGTGATTTTTACACTGAACTGATTTTCAAGAACCTAAAACAATAGTCAAGATAGCTCCTCATACAATAATTATTGGCCATTTTTTCACTCTGAAAGAAGCAGAAGGTATCATTAACTGTATCGCCCCTTGGTCTGGAGATTAATTTTGGAATGAAGGTTTTTCCCTCTTGCCATTCCTGGCTTGGTTCCAGTGCCTCATACATAAGAGGAAGAAGTCACAATGCATGCATGATTTTTCAAAAGAATGAGGTAATAGATACTGATGCTTACTTTTACTTGTTTTATTTCTTAAAGAAAAGTGTATCCCACCTCTCTGTAACATTGTTCTCTCTTTAGGTGGAATGATTCCTATGAGATCTCTCATTATAGAATTATAGAACTTTCAAGCTCTTATATCTTTGATATAATCTGATGTTCTCGTTTTTTAGAGGAGGAACCTCCATATAGAGAGGAGAAAATACACCCATGGCCACCCTTAGTGCTCCATCCAGATATTCCAACTCATGATAGTTAAATGATATGTAGAAAAGGCAAATTTTTAAAGAAGTATTTATTAATATATTCCTATGAAACATTTTAAAGATAACATAAAATGGTTAATTTTTCCATTCTGAAGTAAATGCTAAGCATGCTTATTAATGAAGCAGTACTTCTAATTAGTATATGACATTCTGAAGTTAATTAAAATTGTTACACTCAACGTGTCTTCCTCGGTGTAGTGGGAGGTTTGGGGCTTGGGATATAAAGTGCTTGTTTAAGCCTAGGAACCCAAATTAGAGCCATTTAAAGTAAGCAAAGCGACATGGCCATATCTAAACTAAGATAAGGAAGCTGAGTGTCCATTCCCAGCAGACATAGGAGACTTTTCTGACTTTCACCTTCCCACAGCCCAACCTCGCCTATCCATCTTGCAGCCTAAAATAGGAGGCATGTTAGTGCAAGGTGCTGGCTCCAGTTTTTTCTTACTTTGTCAAAAGACAGTTCTAGGTAATCATTTAAGTCCCTCACAGAGAGAGAGAAGTAGTGTTTGTATGTTTGTTTTTAAATAACCCAAATACAAATTTATGTTGTATTCAGCACAATTGGAGTTCAGGTCTTTAATTTTAGAATATAAAGTGCCTGCTGTTTTAAGCGTTGACTTGTATAAAAAGAACTGCATGTCTCACTCCAGTAAGTTTATGGGTTTTCTCATTTTCAGCTACATGGCTTTTAATCATGTAAAGTGAAACATTAGTTTTGTTGCATTTTATTACAGGTTCTTTGTTGCAATAAAGATGCTGCTAAAATTAATTGATGTAAATGTCCCTTTTTTGCCCGTTCCACATTTGTACACTTTTGCCTTGACTAGTGGCAACTGTGACTGGTTAAAACACACAAACAAGATCATGTGCTTGCAGTGGAGAATGGAGACTGCAAGGTGATTGATTGCATGTGGTTTCTAGTATAGATACTAACCAAAGATACATCCAGGCTTCCTTGATAACTCAGTTGGTAAAGAATCTGCCTGCAATGCAGGAGACCCTGGTTCAATTCCTGGGTCAGGAAGATCCCCTGGAGAAGGGATAGGCTACCCACTCCAGTATTCGTGGGCTTCCCTTGTGGCTCAGCTAGTAAAGAATCCGCCTGCAATGCAGGAGACCTGGGTTCAATCCCTGGGTTGGGAAGATCCCCTGGAGAAGGGATAGGCTACCTACTCCAGTATTCTGGCCTGGAGAATTCTATGGACTGAATATTCCATGGGGTTGCAAAGAGTTGGATACAGCTGAGCAACTTTCACTTTAAAAGATGCATCCACACACAGAAGGAGGTGTGCTTTGTATGTGTCAGTGGTTCCCAACACCCAGAGCTGGTACTGCAAGGCTGGGCGATGCTTGGGGCCAGTGAGTAGCATCTCCTCCCTGAGCAGCTGGCGGTTGCTCTGGAATACCTCTTGGAATTGACAGTGGTTTCTGCATGCTCACTAGGAAGTTACAAGGGAGTTCAGTGTACTTTCCTCAGAGATTTCTTTGGCAATTCTCTGGTCTTTAGAGGCTGAACTAGAGAAAGGGTGGAGGAAAGAAGCAGATGAACCCCTCTAAAAATAGCAAATTTGGATTTGTCTCATAATTCTTCCAGAACAGACCTTCAGTTTGGATTCTATAGCCCTCTGAAGTTGTATGCAAAATACTGCATGAATGAGTGGAGGTGCATTCTGGGGAACAGGGCTTTGGCATCAGATTCTCAAAGGGATAATGCTTTGTTTTTTAAATGCTGTGTTCTATATTAGGTCTTTAAACTTTTATATATAAAAATTTAGAAATAAAAGATTATCTTTAAACATCATACTGCCATAGGCCTATCCTTTTTACCTCATGATGTATTAAAAGGAAAAACAGATATATAAATGACTCTGGGATAAATTAAGATACACTGGATTAACCTGTTGAGGTTACTTTTAGCCAGGAATGATCAGCCAGACCCACCCAAACTAAAAAGATTTAATACCTCAGTATACATAGAATTTATGGCACTCCAGGTGAGAAACTTAGACTGTGATCTCTTTAATTTAGCCAGGATTATTGCTAATCAAAAATCAATTTTCAGCCTGGCCATAATCATCCCACAAATATGGCTGGCGGTACAGACTTGCCAGAGGCTCTTGGGCTCCAGGGTCCTGTCAGGGCAAGCGTATGACCTCAAGGCCTCTGATGGCCCTCTGGCCTGACCTCACCCACGCAGTGGTTATGAGAAATAAGGGTCCCTTGGTGCTTTGGAGGGGAGCAGAGTTTAAACAACTGCAGTATAAGGATCTCATAACCATAATTTTATTTGGGGCTTGGAGCAGTTTGGGGAATTAGCAGGATTTAAATAATCAGCCTAGTTCTGTCCACAGATATGGTGCCCTGGCCATGCCACCCTGGATGGGGGTGAGCTCTCTCTGAAATGGATTGCATGGGGTCAGCTCTGACACGGGGAATGAGATTTTTGAGTTTGTGTGCTCCTTACTGAAAGATACACCTTCTCAATTGGCTCCGTACTTGAGTTCTTGAAATAGAAGTTTGGGAACAGGACAGTTGTCCTTAGCCGGTTTCAGGAATCCACTCCCTGCCACTGCCCCCACCTGCACTTCTTCCCTGGAAAAGCGCTCTGCGGAAGGGCATAGTTTAGCATTCTTCTCAGACTTTGCTGGTGGCTCAGATGGTAAAGTACCTGCCGACAATGCAGTTCGATCCCTGGGTTGGAAAGATCCCCTAGAAAAGGAAGTGGCAACCCACTCCAGTATTCTTGCCTGGAGAATCCCACGGACAGAGGAGCCTGGCGGGCTACAGTCCCTGGGGTCTCAAAGAGTTTGATGTGACTCAGTGACTAACGCTATCACTTTTAGCATTCTTCTCACAAGTGACAGTTACTTGCAGGAAGGTCCTCTGGCCAGTAGGTTCTGGAAACCACGGTGCTCTTCTGTGAGATGGACTCTGCACGTTGGCTCGGTTTCTGGGCACATGTGTGGTCACAGTGCTATCCCCCAGCAAGCATGTGAATGCCACCCTCTCTACTTAATGCACTTGGGTACTTAATGGTGTGTTGCCGGCCGGGTAATTGTTTTTCGTTGTCTCCACTGTCCGTCCTCATGCCTGTCTCTGCTTCTGCCTCAGTCTAGGACCTGTAATGTCATGCTGGGTTGGAGGAGAAAGTGAGGATAAAGAATTCCACCTGGAGATGGAAATGGCAGCCCACTCCAGTGTTCTTGCCTGGGAAGTCCCATGGACAGAGGGGCCTGGTGGGCTACAGTCCATGGGGTCGCAAAGAGTCGGACATGGCTTAGCAACTAAAGCAACAAAATAAGTTGCATCTGAGGTTTCTACACCCAAGGTCATCTATGAGATGAGATCTGATGTTTGACTGGTCCCCTCATATGGAGTCAAGTGTTGATAAGAAAAAGCATTAAGGATGCTTTAGGACTGCCCATCACTCAGAGGGCAACTATTCATATTCCAGGTTCTGAGCTCTTTCCTTTTGTAAAACCATATAGACTATTAGCTACTTGAAGTGAGTGTGCAATTGTTCAGAATGTGTGGGTTTCATGTATTTGAGATCCTGTCCAGTTGCCGTCAGTTTTCCTTCTGCTGCCAATTTGTGACTCATGAACAACTAGGCTCTCTTGTTCTTTGATTTCAGGGGCTGTTCCAGGACTCATCAGTAACTTGATTATTACAAGGTATTGAATATGTTGGTAACCATATTGCAATATACCTCAAGGAAAGGGTTCAGATTTTTATTTTTAAAATATTTTCATTTCCTTTTCTTTTGAATTTTATATCCATGTATCTACTCAGGCACACCTAGCCTATAGATGGGGATATTTATTTATGAAATGGGCATTTTTTTGAAGAGAATATTTTGCTTGAAAGGCAAAGGACTGAAAGAGATTTGTAAGTTGTTGATTTTGTTACTTCATACTGGAACTTTTAAGAAGTTTTCATCAAAGTTTTGTTTTCTACTTAAAAAAAAAAAAAGTTTTCCAAGTGACTTTCTTTAGAGAAGGAGAAATATCGTATGACATCCCTTATAGGTGGAATCTAAAAAGAAATGATACGAAAAACCTACTTACAAGACAGAGACTCACAGCCTTTGAAAATGATCTTATGGTTGCCAGGGGAAAGGAATAGTTAGAGAGTTTGGGATTGACATGTACCCACGGCTATATTTAAAATGGATAACCAGCAAGGACCTACAGTATAGCACATGAAACTCTGCTCAATGTTATGTGACAGCCTGGATGGGAGGGGAGTTTGGAGGAGAGTGGATACATTTATATGTGTGGCTGAGTCCCTTCCATGTTCTGAAACTGGCACAACATTGTTAATTGGTTTATACCCCAATATAAAATAAAAAGTTAAAAAGAGTTCCAGGTGACTTCAAAGAAGCAGTTCACAGCTTCACTCAGCAAACATAGTAACAATCATGTGCCAGGCCTGTGTAGACCATGAGGAAACAAAGATGAAGAGGACACAGCCCTTGCCTTCAATAGGTTCTCAGGACCAACCTCACCTCCCACCTCACTAGTACACTCAGCAGAACACTGCCACCTTCTTAAAGGTATGATAAATTCATATTTTCTCACTCCTGTCCCTAATCAAATCCAAGTTGTACTCAACACTCAAAGCCTTGTGTCACCTCACATTCCCTCACGTGGTCTCTTCTCTCACCCACAAGCATCTGGAAAGTTTCCTCTTTTCTTCTTTTAATTAGTAGAACACATGCTTTGAGGCCAGACCCAGGTTCCTCTTGGCACCCTACAGAACTTTTATGAGAGTCTCCCAACTGACATAGATGATATTGCAAGATGGTACCAGCATCAGCTTTGGAGCCTGGCTTCAACCCTTGCCTCTGCTACTTGCTATCTTTTTGGGCTTGTGCATGTTTACATAACACTCTGATCCTTAGTTTCCTTAAGTGAGAACTAGGAATAGTAGCAGAACCCTCGTCAGTGGGTTATTGTGAGGATTAAATTCGTTTAATATACAAGAAGGCACTTGGTGCCTGGCATGCAATAAAAGTGCTCAATAAAAGTTATCTTAGATTTAGCACTTAATTTTATACCATACTGTTTGCCTCTGATTTTGTTTCTGCACTTAGATTGGAGACTGTTAGACTAGGCACTGTATTATACTTGGTTAACTCTCCCCATCATACCTACTATAGTCAGGTAGGAATCACTTATTTGATACTTGAATACCAAAAAAATTTTAATGAAAAAATTATTTTGACCTTGCCTATATGGGATCATCTAATTGATAGGTTATAGGTTCCTGAATACCCATCCACCAATCTATTTGTAAGACTGCAAAAGAAAATTCTCCCCAGATTTAAGCTTTTAAGACTCCTCTGAAATGTCATTGGAATTTCTATTCTTTGTCCCCTACTGAGGCTTTAGGTCTGGTGGAGGCATACTTCTGAGCCTTGCTTGCAGTCACAATTGCCAGGGGAGCTTATAAAAAAGGCGGATGTCTTGAGTATTTCCTGGGGTCAGTTACATCAACATGGTGGGTGGGGGAGGAGGTCAGCCATATTTTAATAATTTTTGATAAGCTCCCTAGGTGATACTAATGTACAACCAGAGTAATGTAGAACCTTTGAGACAGAGCAATGGAAGATTGCATTCATGGAATGTCAGAGCCAGAACAGTGTCTTGGAAATCATCTTGGACTTCCCTGGTGGTCCAGTGGTTAAGAATCCGCTTGCCAGTGCAGGGACACGGGTTTGATCCCTGGTCCAGGAATATTCCACATGCCACGGAGCCACTAATCCTG